TCGGCAGCCAGTAGCTTCAGCCTGATCTACTCCGTATAGAGTCTACTGACGCTACGGGCTTGGCGTTGCTGCTCGTGCTTTATAAGCTTATTTCACGCGGCGTATAGGCGGATGACTCGGGCGTATGCCCGACGCTGAATCCGACTGCCTCGTTTGGGTTTTTATGCAATCTTTCTTTTCCTTAGGTACCCTATTTACGCGACGTATAGGCGGATGACCCGGGCGTATGCTCGACGTTGAATGCGACTGCCTCGTTGGGGGGTTTTTTTTATGCACCCTTTCTTTTGTTACACCTTATCTACGCGGCGTATCGATGGATGACTCGGGCGTATGCCTGACGCTGAATCCGTCTGCCTCGTAGTCGGGGTCCCTATCATCCTTTTCCATGTATAATCTGTGTCTTATCCTTGTGATTTTCCTTTCGGCGTGGCGTATGGATGACTCTTGCTTCGGCCTGACGCCTAGTCCTGTTGCCTCGCAGTCTGTATCAATGTAAAATCCTTGTCCTAGTCCTCTGATGTGTCCGCCGTCTGCTCTTGTGCCGTTTCTGTTTGTTGCTGATTCTCACCGACCGGACAATCACGTTTTGGGCGCCAGATGTAACGAACTGATTTTTGTATGTCTGCTCGCTACGAGTATCGTGCGGCTAGCTCAGAAGATTTGTGTTGTTCGTCCCACCAAATTTATATAAACGTGACCGCCCGATTGTCTAGTGAGAACGCACAGAATGTTGGGATGCTTGTATTGGGATCTTTATTCGCCGACTTGTCCCTCGGCCTGGGACTAATGGTGACAGATGGGTATCTCAACGCCTCCCTTGAAGAATTGTTGTCGCTCCACCGTCGCTCTCCGCTGCCTCGCTGTTCGCTGCTCGCTGCTCCGTAACGCCTCCGCTGTCTTTGGCCTCGGGGCTTGTGAGGGTCTAGGGATGCGTCACCGTTCCCAGACTAGGGTGAACAGGCACTGGGCTCTCAAAGCGTACGCCTTTCGCAGCCACAGCCTCCTGTCCCTGGATCTGTCCCGGCCGGTCGCACCAGACGCCTACACAGTTTTTACCTGACGGTTCAAGCATACGCCGGAAGGCCGCCAATGTAGTCCCTGTGGCAGGACGCTAGGTTCAAGACGAACGCTTCCGCCCTCGCCTCTTCGCCGTGGACTAGATACGTCGGAGTGCAGCTTGGTTGTTGCTGGGCCTGCGACGACTGCTCGTTGTCTCGTGTCCTCGATGTCCTCGCTCTGCTTGCGGCGCGAGTCCTGGCTCCGTTGTCCGCGTGCTCTTGTGAGACTAGGTGCAGCGGGTCTTTGGCTCTCGGGATTTGGTTAGCTACCCGTCTAGGACTCTGGCGGTGAACTACTGTGCTCTCGACGCATACGCCTCTCGAGACACCCGTGGTTCGGACGCGCGTCCTTCTTGGCTAGTCGCACCAGGGCCTGCACAATTCTCGCCTGCCGACTCAAGCGTACGCCGGAATTCGACAAGGCAATTGCTTTCGCACGGCAGCTGGTTCTGGACAGCTTCCCTTCCGAGCCCACGGTTCTTTGTCGAAGGACTCTTTTTATTCACTTCTGTCGGATTCGCCGAGCAATACGCCAAGCTCAAATCGCGACACGAATTAGAATGAAACGCCTGGACTTAGCCGCGTGATGCCTTAAGGACCTCAGCTACCTGTTTCTCAGCTCGGAGACTTCAACTCTAAGTCCCGAACGTCTTGATGTAGCGATCTTGCTCCTGTTGACTCGGCGCGGCTCTGCTTCCTGATGTTGACTTGACTTGTTTTATTCGCTGGTTTTCTGCTTGTCTTCTGATCTTGCTGGATTGACTCCTTTTGATCGACTGATCCGCTATCCCGTTAATTCTTGGCTTCTCCTTTTTCGGTTTTGCGCACGGCACCATCCTCGGTCCAAAGTCCGCCGCCTTCTACCGTTACACGTTCTCTCCAAACTCTCTCCAGCCGTACTCTCCAAACTCTCTTCTTGTTTCTCTCCAAACTCTCACCAGCTGTATTCTCCAAACTCTCACCAGCTGTATTCTCCAAACTCTCACCAGCTGAATTCCTCCAAACTCTCATTTATTTGTGAAGGGTTATTTAACTCCTCACACTGTAAGAAAAGTTATGGGCTTAGAGGTGCTGGTTCTAGGTGACTTTTCTGCAAAGCCATTTTCGAAAATTTGGAAAGGGGTAGTAACATCATTAAAATTACGAAAGATCGACCCAAAAATACAAACCAAGCTGAAAACGCAGATTTTTAGAGAATATAAACACAATAATTTAGAAGTATGCCACTTTGAAATCGGATGCCTGAAAGAAAAGTTATGGGCTTAGAGGTGCTGGTTTTAGGTGACTTTTCTGGGTAGCACATTTTCGAGAAATTGGAAAGGGGTAACATCATTAAAATTACGAAAAATCGACCCCAAATTTCAAACCAAGCTGATATTTAGAGAATTAAATTACAATCATTTAGAAGTATGCCACTTTGAAATCGGATGTCTGTAAAAAAGTTATGGGCTTAGAGATGCTGGATTTAAGTGACTTTTCTGGGAAGCCAATTGTCGAAAATTTGGAAAGGGGTAACATCATTAAAATTACGAAAAATCGACCCCAAATTTCAAACCAAGCTGAAAACACAGATCTTTAGAGAATTAAATTACAATCATTTAGAAGTATGCCACTTTGAAATCGGATGTCTGTAAGAAAAGTTATGGGCTTAGAACTGCAGGTTTTAAGTGACTTTTCTGCAAAGCCATTTTCGAAAATTTGGAAAGGGGTAGTAACATCATTAAAATTACGAAAAATCGACCCAAAAATACAAATCAAGCTGAAAACACAGATTTTTAGAGAATATAAACACAATAATTTAGAAGTATGCCACTTTCAAATCGGATGGCTGTAAGAAAAGTTATGGGCTTAGAGGTGCTGGATTCAGGTTACTTTTCTGCGAAGCCATTTTTCGAAAATTTGGAAAGGGGCAACATCATTAAAATTACGAAAAATCGACCCCAAATTTCAAACCAAGCTGAAAGCAAAGATTTTTAGAGAATTAAATTACAATCATTTAGAAGTATGCCACTTTGAAATCGGATGTCTGTAAAAAAGTTATGGGCTTAGAGGTGCTGGATTTAAGTGACTTTTCTGGGAAGCCAATTTTCAAAAATTTGGAAAGGGGTAACATCATTAAAATTACGAAAAAATCGACCCAAAAATACAAACCAAGCTGAAAACACAGATTTTTAGAGAATATAAACACAATAATTTAGAAGTATGCCACTTTGAAATCGGATGCCTGAAAGAAAAGTTATGGGCTTAGAGGTGCTGGATTCAGGTGGCTTTCTGGGAAGTAATTTTTCGAAAATTTGGAAAGGGGTAACATAATTAAAATTACGAAAAATCGACCCCAAATTTCAAACCAAGCTGATTTTTAGAGAATTAAATTACAATCATTTAGAAGTATGCCACTTTGAAATCGGATGTCTGTAAGAAAAGTTATGGGCTTAGAAGTGCAGGTTTTAGGTGACTTTTCTGCAAAGCCATTTTCGACAAGAAAGGAAAGCTAACTTCGGGCGGAGCCGAAGTTGATATACCCTTGCAGAATACTCTGTAAATTATATTCTCCAAAATTATTCATATGATGCATTCTTAATACTCATAAAAAATCCCAACTTCCTAACTTTAAAAACACCAAAGTTATGGCATTTCTAATCGTTCAGTTATATGGCAGCTATAAGATATAGTCGGCCGATCCTTATGAAATTTGGTATGTCGGATTGATTGGCCAAAAATAAAACCCATAGAAAATCCCAACTTCTTAACTTTACAAACACCAAGTTATGGCACTTCCGATCAATCAGGTATATTGCAGCTATAAGATATAGTCGGCCGATCCTTATGAAATTCGGTATGTCGGATTGATTGGCCAAAAATAAAACCCATAGAAGTCCCAACTTCTTATCTTTAAAAACACCAAAGTTATGGCTTTTCCGATCGTTCAGTTATATGGCAGCTATATGATATAGTCGCCCGATCCGGCTCGTTCCGACTTATATACTACCTGCAATAGAAAGACAACTTTTGGGAAAGTTTCGAGCAGATAGCTTTAAAACTGAGGGACTAGTTTGCGTAGAAACGGACGGACAGACGGACAGACTGACAGACGGACAGACGGACGGACAGACGGACGGACAGACGGACAGACGGACATGGCTAGATCGACTCTCCTGGTGATGCTGATCAAGAATATATATACTTTATAGGGTCGGAAATGTCTCCTTCACTGCGTTGCAAACTTTTGACTGAAATTATAATACCCTCTGCAAGGGTATAAAAATTTGGAAAAGGGTACCATCATTAAAATTACGAAAAATCGACCACAAATTTCAAACCAAGCTGAAAACACAGATTTTTAGAGAATTAAATAACAATCATTTGGAAGTATGCCACTTTGAAATCGGATGTCTGTAAGAAAAGTTATGGGCTTAGAAGTGCAGGTTTTAGGTGACTTTTCTGGTAAGCCATTTTCGAAAATTTGGAAAGGGGTAGTAACCTCATTAAAATTACGAAAAATCGACCCAAAAATACAAACCAAGCTGAAAACACAGATTTTTAGAGAATATAAACACAATAATTTAGAAGTATGCCACTTTGAAATCGGATGCCTGAAAGAAAAGTTATGGGCTTAGAGGTGCTGGTTTTAGGTGTGCAGCCATTTTTCATTAAAATGACGAATAATACAAACCAAGCTGAAAACACTGATTTTTACAGAATATAACCACAATTATTTAGAAGTATGCTACTTTGAAATCGGATTTCTGTAAGAAAAGTTATGGGCTTAGAAGTTCAGATTTTAGGTGACTTTTCTGGGAAGCCATTTTCGAAAATTTGGAAAGGGGCAACATCATTAAAATGACGAAAAATCGACCCAAAAATACAAACCAAGCGGAAAACACAGATTTTTAGAGAATTAAATTACAATCATTTAGAAGTATGCCACTTTAAAATCAGATGTCTGTAAAAAAGTTATGGGCTTTTATATCAGATTTGCAAAAAGATACTACTGAAAAATCCAACCTCGAACCCACAAGGTTTCGAAGGAACGCCAAAGAATGACTTTACTTGGCCTCTGGTACAATTCGTTCCGGATATAGCATGTACATCAAAAACTTATCGGTGACTTCGGCTTTAGTATAGGTACATCCATAGCCATTAAAAGCTAGTTCATGCTCTTCCTCGTCCAGCACGCAGTATATTTCGCTGGCCAGCGCCGATGAAAGATCCTTTTCTGGTTGGAGCACCTTTAGAGCATCCCGCCGGAACAGTTGGATGGCCGAGATTACCTTTTCGCTAGACCTCAGGCATGAGTCCAACCGTTCTTTTTTAGTAATTCCCACCTGCGGACAGAAGGCCTCATCCAGCTGGAGGAGAAGTCTACGAAAGATAAAGCTGGCGAAGATTCTTTTCTGGCATTCGTTCGACTGCGTTCCTGTCAAGGAACACGGCTGAAAGACGCCGATTCCCACGTAGAGCACCAAGAGCAACTGGGTGAAAATGGACAAAGCGAGGACAAGAAGCAAATACTCCTCATCGCAGTGCCTTCGATTTGGTGGGGTGGTCCAGTCCATTGATGGCGGTACTTCCTCAATTCCATAACTGGGCTGCAAGCCACCTAGCAGCATCTTCGCGGGGTCAAGAGTCACAGACGAGAGCACAGATCAGCAAGCCACCGAAAACGGTTCGAATTTAGAATTTTTAGTAACTCGAAACTAAACAAGCACGGCCTGCTCGTCATTATCAGATTTTTCAGATTCGACCGATACCTGGCTTTATTTTTGCGGTTTTACGGTATAACTAAGAATACAAAAATGTTGATGTTTAATGGCATTTTATAATAATAATATTTCGTCACTAAATTTTATATTTTGTATGTAAAGGTGTGATTGTCAAGACTTTTTACCTCGTTACGAGATGATTTTGTTTGGTTGGAGTCAGCTACAAATATGCTCTTGTTACTATGGTAAACAGTGAACCGTTTTATCAAACAAATATTTTCAGAAAAAGACGTGCGATGGACCCAGCTAAAGTTATTGGAAAACTGTTAGTCCTTGTTACATGTAATTAAGTTTCTGAGTATTAAACATTTTGTATAATTTTAGAAGGGAACAAGTAGGCATGGAGCACAAGTCGCGCCGTAGCTTTCCAAAAGTATGGACCCAAATTTCAGACAAGCAAACTAACAAGTTCTACCACCAAAATGAAATTGATTCTCAATTAATGGAACAGCTAAAACTCCAAGGTAAACCCAGTTCAGCTTTGGGTTTCAAGTTCTAAATATACGTTTTTATAGACCTATGTCCAATTTTGCACAACAACCAGGGCGAATCTAGTTTTGTGTCTCCGGAGATGTATAAAAACTTATTGGCTGTCTGTCGCTGTCGTCGGTCTCGTCGAGGCCAACATATGGGCAAATGCTTACAAAGAACATTGAGTCCAGATTATCAGCCATCCATGATTCCGAAAAACCCGAACAGGAGAGGTACTATTGAAGTTAATAATGTTTCTGGGCCAATGAGTGTGCCTCGTACTTCAAACTGTAAGTAACAGAACCAACTCGGGTATATGCGCAAATACTATACAAATAATACTTTTTTCAGCTTGCATTGGTTTTGTAGGAATCTCGGAAATATACCTAAAGCTCGAGCGTTCTATGCAATATGCTTCGCCTGCCCACTCAATGCCGGGGCCTCGAGTAACAGCAGTCCCATACAGTAATATTATCATTGGCTAAGATGTGCTTTAATTGCACACTAGACTGTTGGGTTAAACCAGATCAACTAGATTTGATGATTCAAATCGGGGATTTCTGATGGTCCCACCCTAGCTTATCAGAGTCAATAATAAACTTAAAACTGATTGCTGTCATTTCATAGAACTGGATTTTCCATGACGTCTACCTCTCAAACCTGTATTCAGTGGCGTACGCATTTTACTCGTAAACAATGAATGAAAGAAATACATTTAAGATTAAATAAAATAAGTAAATGCGAATACCTTTCAGTATATTTGGAGCAGCAACTTATATATAATCATTACACTCCTCTTGATTCTACTCTGCGAACGCCACTGCCTGAATTGTATTGACGTCTTTCACAAACATATGTATGCTTAAATGCAACAAATTTTGAATAACAGGTGTGTTTCGATTCAGTTTCACTCAGGCAGCAGCGTTAGAAGTAAAAACTTTGCGGATCCGATTAAAAATGTGCGGCTACTGGCACTTAATATTGATTTTGGCTTGTTTAAGTCAGTTGGCGGCGACCCAAGACCCTCTTATTTTTCAAACATCAAGAAACCCATTGGCTGGTGCTGGGACAACGACGCCAGGGCCGTTCTCGTCCGCCAGTTCTAACTTGGTACTGGTGAACAATGTTAGAATACCCGGAGGTCTCACTCCATTTGCACCAGCTGCGCCTCCGACGCAGGAGTTCCTGGACTGCTTTGGTAGCTGCCCCACTACCCCGCAGTACAGTCCCATTTGCGGGAGCAACATGCAGCTTTATCTGAACGAGCAAAAATTCAACTGCGCTCGATTTTGTGGTGCTGGTGAGTCCAAAAGTTCTACATCTACATCCGAATCCGCATTTAACCAACAATTTTTAGACATACAAATAGTTCGCCGAGGAAGTTGCGAGGGTCTTTTTGCAATGACACGTGGTTGATATATTTATGTAGGTTTCGCCAAATCGGATAACACTCCTAACTTTATCTATGTATAATAATATATGTATGTATGTACTTGCGGCCAGAGATGTTTTTTGTCAAAGCAGCATTTTATTCTTAGAGTTCCCAGTTCATGGAAATTTGATAAGAGCAAACAGAGATGACAAACTGTAATAAGACTATACTATACTACTACAATCATATAAGGGTATATAAAAATAATATATGTATGTATATATTTACTTCTGAAAAACAATCTTGATAACCTGGGCACTGTTGGCTCTTGTTGTACACAACGTCTAAGTGGGTTTCCGTACACAGTTCCGGTTTGAATTTTAAAGAGAATACACGCGAAGATGATGTCGTCGTATTACTTGGCCATAATTTTGGGTAGAATATATACATATATAAGATTTTGTGTAGACCTTTCCCCTAACATACCGTTCGATTTCCATTTAGCTGTGCTTTTTGGTCATCTACAATTTCAGGCTATTGTAGTAGCACGAGTTGCCAGACCAGCGCATCGTCATGCCAACGCCACAGTTTTCACGCCTGCTCGCACCCATAACGGCGGATACAATCACTCGGCCTTTGGTCCCGTGAATACAAACTATACCCGTAACATGGCACCACGTAATGGGACCGTGCCAATATATCACCAATCTTCTTTTCAAGATCCAGGATTTGCATTACCCCCTCAAAATCGAACTTGGTTGCCCACCAATCAGATACTTTACGGCGCCACATCAGGTAGTGTGTCAGCGCCATCTGCACCAGCTTCAAGCGGCTGGATAGCCAGCAAAAATCCACAGACGGGAGCTCTTCCATCGGGCTGGTTCCAACCAAACGCTCCACAAGGTCAGGTCGTCGCCCCAGCACTTATCTTCAGAAAAATCAATGGAACTTCATATACAGCATACAATCAAACGACTCACACTGTTTCGCAAGGCGGGCGCGCAGTCAATGGAAGTTCTTACTCTAGTCCTTATGGAAACCTTTCTATCTGAGCACATTAGTCCTTTTTTAAAAACACAATAAATACATCAAAGTTATAATTTTTTCAAAAACAATTTATTGTGTTTTGTTCGATTTGCACGTCCAAAACGGATAATCGGCATAAATATTTGGGTTGCTTTCCGGTATTCCAGAAGTGTAAATATATGTCTATACGAATTTTCCAGATATGGGCTGAGTCAAGGGTGCGGATATTGGGGCTGTGATCAAGCTAATCACGGCATCTAATAAGTATATCAGCTTTGAACTATTAATAAATGAGTGCGATGCAACGGCCGATTGTAAAAAAAAATGTTTCTTGGATTCAACTATCTTGAATCGAAGGGTGTCCCTCGCCGCCGTCAAAGGCTCCCACGATGCAGTCCCCGAGTCCACCGCAGCAGTCAGATACTCCCACGCCGCAGTCATAATTAAGAAAAATCCCTCGCCGCCGTCATCAAACAATGGATCCCTCGCTGCCGCAATTATCTCGCTTATCCCACGCCGCAGTCCAATATGCAATCCCACGCCGCCAGCTTCCACCGCCGCAGTCAATATTATTGTAATTCCCAGTCGTTTTTAGAATATCCCTAACGCCCTGGCCTAAACGCCCTAATAATCCCACGATGTAAAACTTCGCATCCCTCGCCGCAGTCAAAACTTAGCATCCATCGCCGTCGTCTGGATTTTGAATTCCCCCGCCGCCGTCCTCATTAACTCCCACGCCGCTGTCATTCGAGTCGTAGTAGTGTCAATCCCGCGCCGCAGTCCAATTTAAATGTCAATTATCCAAACAAATCTAATATCCTCACGAAGGGTCCTCACAGAGAAAAATTAACCGACCAGTGTGTAGCGAAGAAAAACGTAAGTGCGTCCAATGTAGAAATGAAATCTGGAGCCGCCATCAGTGCTGATAACAGCAGAGAATCAAGAGCAATCTATCCCAAGCCAGTGGTAGAGTATCGAAAAAACGGTTGCGGGTCGATTGAAATGGTGTTTAGCGAAGAAATGATACCTCCAGCCTAATTGATGCTCCACTTGCAGATTATGAAAGGTGATCCAAAGGGGAATAAGACTTCTCGTATCAAAAATGATCAAAGCGTGTGTGCTCCTACGTCGTGTTACGTTTCTAGTCTGCTCCAAATAGACCCAGGATGCGGATTTGGTGATTGAAAACCCAGTGAATACAGATCGAAGGTAGTAGGTGCAAGTGCGAAGGTACTGAATGTCAAGACTGGCTTTGCCTCTGTATGCTGCTCTCCCTGCCTTGGAACGGGTCTTGAAAGGGCCTTTGTAGTTCAAAACGTCTCGTACGCTGCTCCCTTTGCTTACTGCTCACTGCCATGGATTTCGCGCTAAAATTGGTCCTGCTATAAACTGATTGCTGCTTCTGCTGCTGCTGCTACTTCTGGACCGGAACGTCTAGCCTAGCGAAAGGCAATCCCGATGCACTCCTCAGTGAAGTAGGACGTCTGTATTGGCTCTTAGGGCAAAAGTTTACAAGTCATGCTTTACAATAGCTTACAATGCAGATTAACAATTCATAAAAAAAAATGCTAACATTATTTACGAACAAATTAACAGGACAATTCTAATGCTTTACAAGTTCAATTTGGCTCTGGGTCTGAAATGTTCGCTACTTATATCGTCAAGCTGCAATGATAGATTTAGGAACAATAACAAAATAAAAGTGTGCTTAGTTGGCTGTACCGCGGGGCGCGTGTCTCTTGGATTCCCTTTGAGACCAACATGACGAGTATGCTTGAAGGCGCGCCTGGCATTGCAGCCAGATTAGACCTTGGCCGAGTAGTTTGTGAGTGGGTCGCGGTCTTGGGCGTTCCTGGAATGCGTAAATGCACCGACTAGAAGTCTGCTCATATACCTTTGCGTCTTGGGTGACCCTGCCTGCCGCTGTCGCTGTACATCGCATTAGATTCCCTTTACGATATTAATACTGAAGCGAAGAACTCGACCAGAAGCTCAGCTGGGAGCTTGACTAGGACCAGGAGCTCAACGGGGAGCTCGACTGCTGTAGTACCACCTCGCAATTGATTCCCTTTGCGGTACGATGATCGGCAGCCAGGAGTTAAGGGCTCAACTGGCGGGGCGTGGCGCGACCCATTGGCCGCCCAGCTCGGTCTTCGAACACTAATCGCATTTGTTTCCCTTTGCGATGGATATGGGCTTTCTCATATTCTGGGCTACCTACGGAAGGAAAGTGCAAATAAATCGACAACCCGCTGAAGGTGATCAAAGGTTTCTTCTCTCCTGCGCCCCGTCTTGCAAGTCCGTCGAATTCGGCCAGCTGTCTCGACTGACCGATAGTCTTCAACTGCTGCTGCTGCACACCTTCACATTCGGATTCGGATGCTTAAACATTAATCGCAATTGGTTCCCTTGTCGTTAGCTTCTGATCTGTCCGGATGGCATTCAACGAAAACCGCTAAATGAGGAACTCTGCCGATCGCTAAGAGTGATAATTAGCGACGCTAGGCGAGGATGCCTGTGGCGCAGTTGCAGCAGCAGCCCTGTAACAACGACAACACATCAGCTCACTTCTCAGCGAATACTGGTGATGGTGCGGTGTAGCGGCTCTCGGTCCAAACGCATTTGTTTCCCTTTAGCGTGGACCGAACGCACATGTCTGTGCGGTGCAATGCAGTACGTGCTTAGGCTCAGCTCAGCACATCACGGCGCCATACTGTCGCTCCGACTTTGGCTCTGTAGCAACGCCCGTGTGTGGATCTTGCGGCCGGAAGGTACGGCACCCAAGTCGATGCGGTCTGAACAACGGTTGCTCCAGTCATCAGGTTGCTCTGTACTGGGCACTGCCTAGTGATTAGACGGACACCAGCTAACCTCTTCGGCAGAAACCTCGGCTGTAATGTAAAAGCATTAGGTTCACAATCAGCAAAGGCGGCAGGACGCCGTTTCTGTTTGCATGCTTTCTGTGGTAATACTCGATGTTCACTCGATGTATTGTTCTCGTTCGCTGGTACGCTTAAATTGGTTGTCGTTGTAGCGGCGTTGCGCTCTACTTGCTTAGAGAAGCCTAACTGGATGGACTTGATGCATCGTTTGGATTCCCTTAACGATTTGCAGCAGCACAGCAGTAGACTCGGCCAGCTAGGAGCGGTGTACGTCTTGATCAACCGACCGGTCCGCCGCTAGCTTCCCAACGCTAAGTCGATGCCCACAGGCACATTCAACTGTGCAGCACCGCTGTAAGAAGTGTAAAATAAATTTATGACTGCTAAAGTTCTCACTCCGGTAAGATTTTTATGGACCCCGGCCAATAGACACGATACCCTAAGCCAAAGGTCGTTCCTGCTACAAGACTCCACATCCTGGCCCGACAAATTTGCTGAAAAACAGGTGTAAGCAAAATCCAGTTGAGTTCAGGCCTGACCTGCGTTTAAATCGAATTCGTCGTGTTGTATGGATGTTGGACTGCGACGAGTGTTGGTGTTATTGCTTTCAAGTTGGCATTTGATTCCCATTGCCTCAAGAAATTTTGCTACATGTTCTCGGTAGGTTTTAAAACAAGTAAATGCACATAGGTGCGTAGACAGTGTTATGTATCGGAACAGCCGGGAGAAACTCGTGTCTTGGTAGTGAATTTGGGCAGAATAGAGAAACATCAGTGTAAAGTGCGCACTTTGACGATCCAAGCGTGGCTCAAACGCAGTCATTACAAGGCCTTAGAATAGACGGTTCACATTAGCTTTCGGCTCATAAGCTACTGATGAGATCTGGGCAGGCACATTCAACTGCAACCACATCGCTACAAGACAGAAATAATTGGTTCGACAAACTACAAATAATTTACGTGTGATCCAGTAAAGGCTGGCGTACAAATCCCTTGCAGCTTAACTGTCCGCCAATATGCATTTCTATAAATACGAAAAAAAAAGTTTTCGATTGCAAAGTTCATAATTGTTACGGTAGTTTGGATGCTCCTTTCGTCAGTCTTTTGCTGTTTTTATGATTCCCTCATGTCTTGGAATTAACACTGCAATGAATACATTAATGAATCGCTACTTCATTGGGATTCGATAAAGAGGAACTTTATAGAAAATGCGTTTTTTATCGGTCCCGAAGTTGCACAATCGCCATAGTCAGTGGAATAACTTTGAAGTGGTCGAGGGTTTGCTGTTGCTTTCGACGTCAATAAATACCGATGAAATATGGGCAGGCACATTCTACTGCAACCATATCGCTACAAGACAGAAATATTTCGTTGGATATACAAAATATAATTTACATGTGATGGGCGGACCGTCCAATATTGGCTGCCTTACAACTTCCCAGCTGGTTAACTTTCCATGAATATGTATTTCTACAAAATACGAAAGAAAAGGTTTTCAATAGCAATTGTTTAGCTTTTACGATTGACTTGTTGTTCCACCCGTCAGTCTCTTGAGCTTTTTAAGATTTTGTTTCTCGGCATAAACACTAGAGGAAAATCCGATATTAATGGTAGCTATCGTAGGAGCATTCCGCCTAGAAATAATATAACGGGAGCATTTTGATCGAAGTTAGTATCAAAAACGAATTACGCTTTGGCTTTCATCACATCGATGTTTCTGGTCTTCAAATTCAAAAACGCAGTATTAGGAAGATCCTCCTCCGCCATTTTCCCGCAGATGCACGCAGGCACCGTTCAACTGCGATGCATCGCTAGAAAAATAAACGAAAAGTGACGCTTGTGCCTAGTCTACTAACTCTTCCACTCGTGCTTCAGATTTAATTTCTTGGAAGATCTGCTGGTGGTGCCCTCAGGACTCCGAGCACTTGGAGAATGCAGAGTATAGTGCGGTGCACATCACACACTGGCACTCACAGGGACCGATCAACTGTAAGATGCCGCTACAATGATTAAATCGGATTTAGCTAGCCCAAAGATTAACAAAAAAGGAAGGGCGAATCCCTAGGGTCCAAACATTGCCTGCCAAAAATATAATGAGTAAATGAGACGAAGTCCAACGATGGGCGACGAGCGAAAGCAGTTGGAAATTCAGTTCTGTTAGTCACGATAATAACCCCTTGCGGCTTACATGCGAAGGTGAGATAGGAGCTCCTAAAAATCCAAACCGCAGAAGACGTAGAATGTTGTTATGATTTCGATGATACACGACAGATCCGCTCCGCTGTTATTTTCGCTGTAAATCGGTTCAGAAAGCAATATTTTGTTCGCAGCTGATATACCAAATACCGTGTATCTGTGTGGATGGGTGGGTGGTGCTCAGCAGCTGCGAAGCGTTCTATGTAGAATAGGTGATGGTAGTTGGTGGTCGATAGTTGGCAATACCCAGGAGAGCTTCAAACGCAGGTAAGCTGATGCGAGCTGGAGCTGCTGCCGCATTCCGCCTTGTCCCCATTAATCTATCAGCTGCGACTGAATTGCATGGACATTGTCAATGGCATGGTCATGTCATGTCATGCAGAGGAGACGGAGACTCGGTGGTGTGTGCTGCGGCTGCTCACTGCTCCGGCGATCTATGCTGGTTTGCGGAACTCACTGCCAGGCGGTAGAGGTGGGGGTGACTCGGACAGACGTGGAGACTCACTCAGTTACTCTATAACGCTACGCCATCGTCGCTGCGACGATCGTGTTTCTTTCTTACCAGCCGTTGTCATGGTCGCATGGTCGCGGTTGGTTCTCCGGATCACCGGTATTCGGTTTCATTCAGTTGCACACTGCGACGTAGTTGCTTGTTAAGTGTTCCGTTCCTCCTCATCGTTGCCATTAACGTGCGAGGAGCAGGAAACTGCAAAACAAAATCGATTATAGGTGCGGGTTATGACAAACGGGGGAGGTAGTGGGGATTGGGTTTGCTTAGCGACGAATTTGAGTGAATAATAAGTAAAGGCAGCATTGATTTCAACATTCATTTACAATAATTTTATTTTAGGTTTTATCAAATATCAGTTCTGTATGCTTACTTTAAGTACATTTATGATTTAAATTTTTATTTTACTTTACATTATTGCCCCGTTTTCTTTTTCAACGCTAGGGATTCAATGTGAATTGTAAGTACCTCGCAGAAATGGCGATGACGAATATTCGAAATCGAATTTCTCGACACATCGGACAACAACAAAAGTAGCTAAACTTGGTGTACACAAAAATAGCACGAGCGCTCATGCACACATCCACGTTTGCAAACTTGCGTGTGTATTGAGTTTCTTTGTCTCTGCCTAGCCGAGACGTTGTGGAAATATTCGTCTGCCACTTCCGATTTCGCCTCAAGTTTATTCTACGTAACTTAAATAGGTGTAAATAGTATACTGATTTACAAACCAAGTGTGCTCCGGGACCAAAGGCTCTTCCTGGTGGCTTTTTGCATGGATTTCTGGAGGCAGCGCCCATGACTCATACCACTCTCGATTCGAAGGCCGTATGCTTAGCTCCTTAGTCTCCTCACACTCATCCAATCTTCTTTCATTATAATCTATAACAGCCTTGCACATGTTTGCGACTGCAAATGAGAAATGGGTTGTCGTAATAAAACTAGTTTAACAATGATCAAATAAAGCTAGGGCGACGTAAAGGGAAATATTTCGACAACTGAAAAACAGTTTTCTCTCTTCCTGCCACCATTTTGTGCATGTGCGTATGTGTCATTCACGTATACACCCAAACGGCACATACACTATATAGACATCTCTTTCTAACTGCCCACTGCAATGGTGCAGCTTAGGTGATTGTTGTTGTTGGTGTCAATTTCTGTGTAACTGTTGCTGCCATTGCTGTTGCTGGCACCCTTGTTATTGCTGCTCAGGCTGCGCATAAAATTGTCGAGGCCACTGAGCTCGCTGCTCCACAAATTGCTCTCTGCCTCCGCCTCCGCTGCAGCCTTGCCGTTTGAGTTGTCCAACGCGTCACTTGCGCAGTGGGTCCTGCCATGCGGCACAAATCTCGTTTGCATCTCCAGCCAGCGGCTAAAGCGCTCTTGCTGCTTCCTGCGCAGCTCATGCTCCGCGTGTAGCAGGGCCGTCGACAAAATGGCGTTCACGCGCAGGTCGCTGCCAGCGCCCCGCAACTTGCGACGCATTTTCTGGCGCTTCACGCGAAAATTACGCACCCAATCGGTGAGAGTCTTGGGGTTTTCGATAGCGTCGCACTCATCGTAGTAAGCCACCATTTTAACGTATTCTTTGTTTGCGACGGCACGAGGAAATATTGGGAATTAGGTATACACACACACACACACCTTAACAGCGACTGCCTTCGAATCTGTCAATTCAACTCCTCGATCTTCGCTTTCCAACGCACACTTTCCAACTGTGGCGAGCGCGTCGAATACGGGGCCTTTTATAGCACTGCCCACGTCAAGCCAGTACCTACTTTAACGCCGATTTCTGTCTGATAGAGGGTGTTGGGGAACAAACTAAACCCCCCTTAATACGGAGAGATGTGCGCGGAATCGAAATCTTGACTCGCATTTTACTGGTTTTAGGCGGCCAGGTGGAAATTTGCATTTTAAAATTGTAATATTTTATTTTCAAGTCGGCCATTATGCAAAGCCCCAGAAATCACTAAAAAATACCACAAAAATATACCGAATCCGGGTCAACAGGGGTATTTCCCTCATGAAAGTCAAAGATGTATTTGGAAATGTGGTAGAGTTGCCATCGTATTTTTTCTAGGCGGGCAATTTGAAAACACGAGCGGAGCAAATCGGCGTGCTCTTGCTTGATGATCTGACTCACACACATTTACTAGCTACTGGCCACTCATTCAGAGTGCAATGGACAAGTGTTGGGAACTGGCGCTGGTGGCCGAGACCCGAAGCGATTAGATAGATCAGTTCTCCGTGAAACTTGGCTGCCATCGGTCGCGGACGCAATAACGGTATCCAGATCAGTGTAAAAGGGAGAAGGGTGCGCGACGGGGGCGAACCTGAGACATTAGCACAGTGCGAAGAAATCACCAGATATCCAGATATTTGAACAAATAAACAAAACGCGCGAGTGCACAAGTGCCCGCAATATCTCACTAATTTGGAGCTGAACAGATTCAGAGTGTCCGCACAGATTGGCCGGGGGATAATTATTTCCGTGCCATGAATTATTGGCGATCTCGGCGTCCAAGTAATTGACCCTCTTAAGAGGGCGGATTGTATCGGATCCGATCGGCAGCCGGAGCCAGCTGAACAGCCTCTCGTTTTTGGACGCAACCAAAGTTTATTATTATTTGGGCTACGGGAGTGTAAACAAATAACCGCAGACAGAAGTGGCGGCGCAAAGATGGAGAACGTGCGCTTTTCGATTATTGTAAGTGGAGCGACCTGGCCCTACATGAGCCTTATAATTGAATGTTTCATTTTTGTTATTAATTTATTTAAGTGAATTACAATGCATAGTATTATTAAAGTGAACAAAATTATTTTAAAGAAAGGAAGATAACTTCCGTAGACAAAGCTAGACAAAAATTGATTAGTCTAAATTGTTTGGATATACTTGTTATTAGTGTTTACAAATATTTCGATTTATTGTAAATTGATTTGTTAGTTGAAGCAAAAGCAGATTTGATCTCAATTTCTTAATGGCATCCGGCCGCTAACTCTTGTGTTTGCCTTGGCAGGAAAATGACCTAAAGTGGAATTCGGAGAGCGACCAGGCGGCGGATGAGGACCTACTCTTAGACAAGCGAAGCATTTCCAGTGAGGCCAATAGCGCCGGGGTCTTCAGCGATGAGGCGCACGAGATCTTCGCCCGCCAGCAGCAGAATCAGATTCTCTGGGAGCTCGACGAGATTGAGGAAACTCTGACCGCGGCGCCGGGTGGCAAGCACGTCCTGGAAATGGTCCGGTCTGGCTGTTTCCTGGGTGAGTACAAGTTTCGTCTGGTGGCTCCTACATTTCAGACTAACTCCTGTAGCCCTGTAGAACTGTTGGCCAACTCCGGGGACTGCAATCTGGCCCTAATCTGCTGCTCGGCATTCGGGAGTGCAGAGAACATCCTCTACCTGCTAAAGCACTACAACGCGGACCCTAACGTGGCCGACAGCCGGGGACGAACCCCCCTGCACTTCGCCTGCTGCCGCGCTAACGCCCCCATAGCCAAAGTCCTTCTGGACCGCGGCGCCGACCCGAATCGCTGGGATGCTAGGAAGGAGGTCACGTCGCTACACTGTGCAGCAAGGTGAGTGTTGGGTGTGCCGTGCCTCCACATGTGATTCACATCTGCGGCAACACATGGACCTCAAAGTCTCAAATGATGCTAATTAGCGTTTTCCCCTTAGTTCCAAGAGCGTCGAGTGCATTCTCCTTTTGCTGCGGCGCAAAGCAAACATCAATATCGGCATCGAGAAGCGTTCCGCGCTGCACTACGCCATCGACGTCAACGCGGTGGACTGCGTTGAGGTCCTGCTAAAGTACGGTGCGGATCCGAACACTCCCCAGGTCTATACGGAGACGCCACTGCACACTGCCAGCGCCGCGGGATTCGCTAAGTGCGTCCAGCTTCTCCTTAGCCACAATGCCGACGTTCGATCCCAGTTCGGCGAGGGAAAAGTTACGGCCCTGCACTTAGGTGAGCAGAAGCGATCGACGTTGTCAAACAAATGCTTAAGGGTATCTCTTAATTGCAGCTGCTGAAAACGACTACGTGGAGTGTGCTCGTCTGCTCCTGGAGCATCGGGCCGAGGTGGACTGCCGAAATGCCAGCCACCAGACGCCCTTGCACCTGGCTTGTCTTTCGCAGTCGATCGGCACCGTAGACGTCCTCATCTCGTACGGGGCCAATGTGAATGCCGCCTACCGGGACGGGAGAACAGCCCTTCACGCGGCCATTGTTAAGCAGTCGCGGTGCCTGGACTGCTGCAACGCCCTGCTCAAGGCGGGAGCAGATGTCAACAAGGTGGGTGTCAGTTTATGTGTGAGGGGTCAATTTTGTTTAAGCTTTTCCTCCCAGGGATTTTGCACTGTTCACAGTCCATATTTTTTAGAATACGTGCATGACAGCTTATAATCATTATAAACAAGGAAGGAAGCAAACTTAGATCTGCCGAAATTTAAATGCATATTATTAGAAAATCAAACCACAAGTCCTAAGAGGAAAGCCCCTTTGAAATCGGTTTAAATTTGGAAAAGTTATGAAATCTAGACGTCCAATTTTGGATCAGCCTTTTGCAAGACATTGGAAACTTACAAATAATTAATATGAAACTTACAAATAACTAACAATTGTAGGTCACCTTTTAACAGAACGAAGACTTTTTGCAAAGTTTTAAACAAAAATGATTGAGATTGAGGTTTCTGCGTAGAAACGAAGAGACCGACGTGGTTTTTTTTTATTTATACCTAAAATTTCCCTTTACCTCTAGTTCAATGTCTGTTTTTAATATCATCAAATCCTTTATCGTGTTCAGTATATTTATACGTTTATTTAGTTAAAACTACAAAATCATTCTGGAAATAAATTAAATTCTTCTTTTAAAAGTGTTTTCCTATTACATTATAACCCACCACAGAAACAAAACGTTGATGTAACCTTAAATTAATTCATGACTATTACACACAGGCAGATAACTATGGGTATACTCCGCTTCACATCGCAGCACTTAATGAATTTAGCAGCTGTGTGTACACGTTCATAGGTAAAATACCTGGATAACTCACTGCAGTGATTCCTGGTTAATTGAATGGTCTTTTCATCCACAGAGCACGGTGCGGATATAACCGCCAGGACCGACGGACACGTCTCGGCACTATCGTTCATAGTGCGGCGCACACCCGAGATAATACCTAAACTCATGCAGAAACTGGACCGTTCGATAAAGGCGAACGACCATGAAATCGGCGACGTAGACTGTCAGATAAAGCTGGACTTCAGGCTTCTCGTACCCAGTTCATCCATGGAGCGTGGCGAAACGGAGCTGCTGCTCTCCCTGATAGAGGTCGGGCAGAAGCGGATCCTTATGCACCCGCTGTGCGAGACGTTTCTCTTCCTTAAGTGGCGCCGCATTCGCAAGTTCTTCCTTATGAGCCTGGCTTACCACACTTTCTTCGTTCTGCTTTTCACGCTCTATACGTGCTCAGTCTACGTGCGCTGCTGTAAGGAGGGAGAGGTGTGCGTGGCTCCGGGCTACGTGCCCACTACTGGGTACCTGGTGATCATTTTAAACCTCATCCTGCTGGGCAAGGAGGTGTTCCAGATGGCCCACGGTCTGCACGGCTACGCGAAGTACTGGGAGAACTGGCTGCAATGGACCATCGTCTTTGGCGTGCTTTTGTGTGTGTCTCCAGAGGTACTGCGAACTGGCGATTTGCTAGCGGTGCCGGTGTGGCAGCATCATGTGGCCGCTGTTGTAATTTTGCTGGTCTGGCTGGAGCTAATGATGTTGGTAGGGCGATTCCCCATATTTGGCGTGTACGTCCAAATGTTCACCAAAGGTATGTAAACTTATACAATCGTAAGTGTAGAGGAAAAGGTCAACTGAAACGCTCTTACTTTCCCATTTAGTGGCCTTTAACTTTGCAAAATTTCTGCTGGCTTACATATGCCTACTAGTAGCCTTTGGTCTCAGCTTTGCCGTGCTTTTCAATGATTATCCTGCTTTTGAAAACATCACGTGGTCTTTTCTGAAGTCCATCACCATGATGTCCGGCGAGCTGGAGTTCGAGGACATATTCTATGGGGACTATGCCGTGAAGTTTCCTGTCACCGCTCACATCATATTTCTATCCTTCGTGCTGCTCGTCACAGTGATCCTGACGAATTTAATGGTGGGATTGGCCGTCAGCGACATCCAAGGCCTACAAGTGAGCGCCACGCTGGATCGATTGGTGCGCCAGGCGGAGCTGGTGTCACGCCTAGAAAGTCTCTTCTTTTCGCGCCTGTTGAGAACCGCGCCCACCAACTTGATTCAGCTCTGCAAGCGAAGTGCTCTTTTGCGCACCTCCCGTGACAAACTACAGTTTACTATCCGTCCCAATGACCCTCGCGACAATCAGCTGCCCGAGGACATCAAGCTGAACGTATATAAACTGGTGGCCGAGCGACGCGACAGAAACCAAAGCCTTCGGCGCCGCCAATTCGAGAACAACTACAACTTCTTCAGCCGCAGCCTGCAGCGTCAGCAGGAACCGGTCCCGAGGGACTCCCTTCAGCCGGATCCGGCCATCGCGACCCCCAAGAAGGCGCCGCAGAACATCTTTCACATGCACGAGCTGCTGCGCCCCCGATCCGCCACGAATGTGCCCCAGCAATTGCGCCAAGAGCAGGAGGGAACGGTCAAGATGAAGAACCAAGCGAATATCCTATGCGCCGTACAAGCCGAGGTGCAGGCGATCAAGACGCAGCTGGGTGAATTGGTGGCCAAATTCGAGCGGTTTTCGGAAAACGCCACCCGCAAGCTGAACTACAGTGCCGATGAACTATGCCGACTGAGACAGCAGGGTCAGTCGGTGGCCTCCAGTCATAACCGTCACCATCGCTAAATCGTGTCCCCTGTTAGTTTTATTACTATTAACAATTAAAGCACATAACGATTAAGGAATAGCCACGTCAATTTGCGGGATTCTTAGCGAGTAAGCCATTTGTCGTTGTTCTGATTCCAGACGAGAGTGTCCTCGTTGGGCAGCTGATCGCCGGGAGCAATCAGTGTCCAGGTCTGCGTCACGGCATTATATGCGAAATTCTTGGAATCCGGCGGCGGAGGAGGAGCGGTTCGTGTCACGACCGGTGGCAGCGTGATGGTTACAATATTAGGATATGCGATGGCCGATCCTACTCTCTTGGCGCTGCTAATGTATTCAACCTGAGACTTGGGATTCGGATCTTCCAACGGAGCACATAACATCAAAACGGGGCAGAGCAAAGCCACAAGAGCTGCGAATGCAATGCGCACGATGTGTGCTTATTTTTATTCGCTAGACTTGATATGGGACTGTGTTTCAAACACTTACTGCATATGTAAAGCATTTTTTCAGAAAAATTTTGCAAATAACCCTCTTGGAACAATAATTTATAGATTCAACAGCGCAGCATGCAAACAGACAAACGACTGACTTGTAGCTCGAGATTTAGATTGTGTCGGGGTCATGCAAATGTCGTAAATAAGATCGTTTGCTTTTTATGTATTCGTGTTTATTCTCTGATGTCATCGATTAGACTGATTTTGTAATATTTAAAATACGTAGATAAGCCGCCAGTTGCTCGACCCATTATCTTCTAAGTTGTTAACAAATGCCGTTGTGCACCTGTCGGATTCCTGCAAGGGGAGGAGATATTTTTTTACATTGATCCCCATGGAGTTATAGCTTGTCGATGTTCACTTACTCAAGCCACACCCCAGGGCGCAGTTGAATTTGTTTTCATTGTAGTAGTTTACGTTATCACTGCCGCAGATGGGATTGTACTCACTGGTCGCTCCACAGGACTGAAAGCAAGCATAGTATTGCGGGGACTGGGTTGTTGGTCGGGCAGTGGTGGTCGTGGAGCTGCGGCCCCTGTCCGAAGATATCGGCGGCTGGTCTGGTTGCTGCGGACGAAGCCAAGGGTTTTGCCATTGCGCTCCTAACTGGTTTTGGGGATAGCAGTGGACCATCGCTATCCCAATCAAAAGCAGGGCGAAACCTGAAAGTGGAGATAAGACTGCCATAAATGATTTCCAGTCCAGGACAACCTACCAAATATTCCGATACGATCCATTTAAGATGAGCCCGCTGCTTCCGCTACACTTGGAAAACAAGTCTCTTCTGAGGCCCCCGAAAACACAATGACGCCTATTTATACAGAGCTGCCTCTACCCGTCTATCTCAAGTGATTCCCATGCCTGTTAAACACGTCTGGATGTGTGGCTGCTCACAAAGGAACTGTTTGTAAATTCAAGAATCGATTTAAAACCAGTATTACGATTTCACGGTGAATATTGAATGCAGTTCAAATTAAGATTTTGGCTGTTGTTTTAAATATCCTGTGATTTAGTCTTGATTATAAAACTGATTTCATTCAAGTTGAGATCAAGAGACCTGCATAAGTACATACTCGAGAGGCTTAAGCTGCTTTGTAATACTCTTGCAGAGGGTATTATAATTTCAGTCAAAAGTTTGCAACGCAGTGAAGGAGACATTTCCGACCCTATAAAGTATATATATTCTTGATCAGCATCACCAGGAGAGTCAGTCTAGCCATGTCCGTCCGTTTCTACGCAAACTAGTCCCTTAGTTTTAAGGCTATCTGCTTGAAACTTTCCCAAAAGTAGTCTTTCTATTGCAGGTAGTATATATGTAAGTCGGAACGAGCCGGATCGGGCGACTATATCATTTAGCTGCCATAATACTGATTGATCGGAAATGCCATAACTTTGGTGTTTGGAAAGTTAGGAAGTTGGGATTTTTTATTGGTTTTATTTTTGGCCAACCAATATAATTTACAGAATATTCTGCAAGGGTATATCAACTTCGGCTCTCCTTTCCTTTCTTGTTAAGTTGTAATATAAAAAAAGAGGAGACAGTTCAACAACAACCAGATTATATTGATGACCCCAATTAAAAGTAAAGCTTCTATCGCTGGTTCCAAGGGCAGCGCACCGCAATATTTATTCTGCTGCGATCGATGCCTTACTATGCTTTCGAAAAAAAACCCAGCTTGATATAGGCCAGCGCTTGGTTATCTCGATTGACCTCTACTCCATAAATTAATACAGAGATCGTTGGGATTTGCCATTGAGTGTTGTTGCCCAAAATAACGAGATCTAAGCAGTTTCTGAGATTACTGATCAGCTTAGGATTAAGTATTTTTACTATTTTATTGATGTTCTAGGTGCCTTTGGACAATTTCCCGGATGCTGAATTGCTAAATCACTTAAACCACAACTTTTGGCGCAGTAAAATTTGCTCGCATTGGAGTAGCTTTCACCATTAGTGCCACAGACCGGATTGTACTCGGGAGTCGTTGAACAGGACTGAAAGCATTCCAAGAACCGCTGTCCTCCATATGCGCTATGAAATGTCCCAATCAAAAGTAGGGCGATTCCTAGAAATGAAGCTTTAGCTGCCTTAAAAAATTTAAAGACCAGGACAACCCACCAATTATTCCGAAAAAATCCATTTCAAACACGTCCGATGCTTCTAGTACACTTGGAAATTAAGTCACTTCTGATGTGAGGCTTTCGAAAAAACTCTGCTTAAATAAAGACCACCCCGCGTCTTATCTCAATTTAAACTCTTATCGCCTGTTGATATAAACCGAAGAATTCTAAAGCCGGCATTGGGATTTTCCGTCAATGATTAATAAAACAAAAACCAAATTTAATATTAAATATACACTTTTTTGAATCATTCTCTTGCAGCGTGCCGGATTAAATAATATAATAAAAATTAATCAAAAACTGCATAATTTTGCTTCGTACACTCCCCGTGTGCTTGTCGTTAATAGAATATAAGTCGGATGCAGTTACTGGTGGTCGACTTAATTTTATTGTTTGGGAATCCTGCAAAACAGCTTTGTCTTTACAATTTAATGTATATACCACATACATTTAAACAGAGCTTATTAGGTTATGAAAATGTATATCGAAATAGTAAGCATCACAGAGTCAATTTACTCCAAGCATAGCTTGGACTTTATAATCAGTAATGCTGTCCAAATGTAAGAAAGTTTTGAAGAATTTCCGATTTTTCAAAATAAATGCAGTCGACGGCGAGATAACGAAAGGGATCTCTGAGACAAAAGCTTAAGCCCTACTTCTGTGTATACTTATAAGCTATTTTGCCTCATGGCAAAAATCCGCTGCTGTTGGATATGCTGCTGTTGTCGTTGCTGGTGATTAACTTGCTGCTGCTTTGGCTTGTTTTTTCGGGACGTGCCCGATCCGGTTTGCTGCTCCTTGGGCGCATGTATGCGCTGGTCTCCCATCGTTAGGAATCCAGTTAGCTTATTATCCCAAATGAACAGGAAAATAGGCACCAAAGAAAGTATCTGCAGTTTGCGAGGTGATTGCTTCATGTTACGCTCGGCAATCATAACGTAGTTTGGTGCACTGTGCGTGTCCACAAGGACCTTTTGCATCTTGAAGTGGATGCTTATGACGTGGCCAGACTCTAGAGTAACCACATTCATCATGTGCTGAAATATCTCTATTACCACGGCATGCATGTAGATGCCTTGCTTATTGCGTACATAGCGCTTAAAATACAAGTTGCCGGAGTCATCCCCGGCCATTTTGGCATTGTACTTGCGCTCATTGGCTAATTTCGTCAGGGCGTGAAGATCGTCTGGTGTGCGTCCAGGCGGTGGGCAGTAATTAAGTGCAGCCGCCAACAGGCTGAAATGAAGGAACACTGTTAATGTTGAAGGCGAACCACGAAGGTATATGTCAGTTACCGGTGCACCATTATGTCAGGATAGCGGCGGATCGGGCTAGTGAAGTGCGTGTAGATAGGTATGGACAAGGCGTAGTGCCATAGGTCTGCCGGTTCCGTTCTACCCTCACTGCAAAAATATCTGCCGGTGGAAAGGTCTGTCAAATAGGGACATTCTTAGCAGAAGGGCACACTTACGTTGCTCTTGCCATGGGCTTCATTAGCAGCTGACTGAGGCAAGCATTCATTGCGACAGGATTGGGGGCCTCGTTGCAAAGCCGCACCATGCTTTCCTGGAGCGTCTTGGACGAGCTGTAGTCCAGTTCAAATCCTAATGCCTGGAGTTTTTCCCGTAACGTCTTAAGGGACTTGGTTAGTGGTGGCGGGTGGTTCCGGAGCACAGCGATCTCAGGAAAGGCGTCGTGTATAAAACGAGCTACCGCCTGGTTGGCCAGCAGCATGAATTCCTCAATCATGCGGTTTGCCTCGCGTTGTTTCTCCACCTCGAATGACACAGGCTCCCCGCTGATTGGATCTAGAACGAAGCGCAGCTTGGCGTTGTTTATGGTAAGTGCGCCGTTGTCAAAGCGTGATTTACGCATGGAGCTCGCCATCCTGTGGAGCCACAGGACTCTTTTTGTAATGTCATTGGTATGAAATCCGTTTAGGATGGTCGGGAAGTCGTTCTCGGTAAACCGCTCCTTAGGGTTGTCGATAATCTTTTGTGCGTGTTCGTAGGCAAATTGCGAACAGGAGTTTATGATGGTTCGGGAAAACTCGGGCTTTTCTTCCAGCATGACTCCCTCCCCGTCCATCTGCCAGAAGACGGAAAAGGCGAACTTGTTCTCTCCGGGCAGCAGCGAACAACGCATGCATAGAGACTGAGGCAGCATGTGAATTACTTCATTGGCTAGATAAATAGATGTAGAACGCTCCTTGACGATATTATCTAGCTCGTTGTCCTCCATTAGATAGTGCGACACGTCCGATATATGTACGCCTACTTCATATCTGTTGTCGCCTAGCTTCTCAATGGAAACAGCGTCATCCAGATCGCGCGCAGTCATTGGGTCTATGGTAAATATGCACATCTTTCTCAAGTCCCTTCGCTGGCTCAGATCAATCTTGCTTATCGGCGGTGACGGCTGGGAGTACAAGTCGTCAAATCGCTGCTCAAATGGCTTTATATCTCGGAGGCCATTATGAAAAAGAATTGCCTTTAGCTCATCCTCCAAATTTCCCACGCGTCCAACCGGTTGGATTAGCTCCGCGATGCAATGCCCATTGCAATCAGTCTCCAGTATGTGGGCAAGGTAGAGGAGGCCGGACACTTCCCCTGCCTGCTGGTTGCTTCCGATGTGAGCGGTACAGGCCTCCATGGGCACGTAGACCATGGGTACTCGCAAGTCATACGGTCGGAACTTGTAAAACAGCTGATCATCACATAGCTTGTTGGGGTTTGTGAACGATATAGTTCCCACAATCTGACGAAGCTCAGTTTGCTTGGTAATGGCTATGACGAACGCTTTCGGGCAGTTATCCGACGATATGACGACCACATTGTCGGCATCCGCTTCCGCATCCGAGTCCTGAGACTCAGTTTCATCCGAAAGTTCCTCATCACCCGCTAGATAGAAAGGCGTCTTTAGTGTACAGTCTTTAATATAAAACATTATTCTCAAGAGTAACTTACCGAGTGATATAGACGGCTTTCCGCCTGTAATTCCGCCAGAGGAGGGCTCGGCCGGCTTTGAACTGCACTGGGCACCTGCATTTAGAACGAAGGCGCGCACTTTGTCGCCTTCAAAGGCATATCGCCTGGCCACAGGAAGCAATACGATTCCATCCCGTTCGAGGGCTTCCCGGTCTGTGGACATCGTGATGAAGGCCTGCCTATTGTTTTTGCGGTTTACCCGAATCTCCTCCTCCACAATGCGTCCGTAACCTGCCGCAGTCAGTCGCTGCGCATGCGCTTCCAGGTCGGAAAAATTGCCCTTAAAGATTAGATCAAGCGGCAGCTGGTGGTCAATGCCTACGTGATGCTGGACGATCTTGTTTATGTACGACCGCATGGCCTCCAGCTCGGTTTTTAGTGACTGAGTTGTGCTTTTGCCGGAGCCATCGCTTTTTTTGCGGTTACGCTGCCGCCGTCCTTGTTTTGTCAGTTGCTGGGAAGGATTGCTATTGCTGCTCGAGACATCAGAATCATGGCGCTGCCGCCCTTCACCCCGCTGCTCAGGCAGTTGTCGCCGGACTATCTCGCTCCCGCCGTCAATGCGCTGAGGGAGTTGCCGCAGAGCCTGCTGGGGCACTGGGGACACCCTGGGCGGAGCCCACTCCAGCTGGGACAGTACCTCGTTCTGGCGAATCAGCTGGGCGGCATACGCATTAACGTCCGGAGAAACGTGCGACAGCAGTTTGACCATCTCCTGAAGAGCACCTACCTCGTTTCTGAGCGCCCGCTTTGACTTCTTCTTCGCTATTGGCTGTTGGCTGGAATTCGGAAGAATCTGCACCTGGTTCAGCTGTTGCTGGGAAGACATCTGTTGGACCTGTCGGCTGTTGGAGGACGCAGGTGGGGCCCGGCCCGCCTCCCCCATGCGCCTCTGCGTTGGCGGATTGACGTCCTGCACGGATTGGGTGGCGGCAGGTGACTCCTTGCCGTGTGCACTGGACGTCTCCATCTCCCTCTGCGTCTGCTGAAGCCGGGCGCTCAGGCGTTGGGATCGCTGGCGTAGAGCCTCGATCTTGCTGCAGTCGTGGTCGTGAGTGGCAGGATCGGACGGGCCCCGGTCCCCTTCTCCGTCCCGCTCCCTTTCCGCATCCACCTCTACGCTTGATGTTTCCGACATTCTGGGAAGGAGTGCCCTTGGTAGTTAAAACTGGCTGAATCTGAGGGTTGTTGACGCAATACTGGGCTCTCTGCAAGGATAAAAAGAGTGCCGGACAATATCAATTGAATACTTTCTTGAAATTTAAAGTGACGTGACCAGGGATGCAAAACACACCCTCTACAGTATGACCGTACTGCGTGGGCTGTCAGAACAGCGGTGGGTTCGGCCACACTCCGTTTCGGCGACTCAGATTCGGGATGAACGACGGTAAGTTATTTTGGTTTATTTTCGCATTACAAACCGAAATTTATACTGCTGTCTCAGAGGAAATCATAAAGCAGCGCCTACTGATCGACGGCGACGGCACCGGAGAAGATCGCCGCCTGAACGTGCTGCTGAAGCAGTTCCTCAAGTGGGCCAAAGCCAAGAACGAATCGCCGGACACCAAGTAAGCGGGTGATATATTCAAAGTCTTCCCTCCGTGCATGTATCGTGTGGCCTGTTCTCCCCATCACAGCCCTATCATGTATGACCGCCTGATGGCCCAGTTCGCCCAGTGCAAGCTTACCGCGATGAAAAACGTCCAGACTTTGCAGATGATCGGCGCCGAGCGGGAGAACTACAGCAAGCTGGTGGAGCAGCATGAGCAAAGCATCGTTCTGGCCAAGGAGGAGATTGAGGCCAGCAAGAAGGAACTCATCACCGCCAAGCAGATCCGCAAAAACAAGATGGAGTACGACCTGCTGGCCTCGCTCATCCAGGATCAGCCGGACCGAAACGGCACCCAAAAGCAGATAGAGACCATCAGGAAGGAGATCGATGACCTGGTGCAAAAGAAAGTGAAGATGGAGCGCAAGTTCCAAAAACGCCGCAACGACTTTACGCTCCTCATGTACACCATCCACGAACTGGAGCAGCAGCTGGATCAGGACAACAGCTCCTCCTCGTCCTCGTCGTCCTCCTCTTCCTCGTCGTCCTCTTCGTCCAGCGACAGCGAGGCCCGCTCGGAGCCGGACCTGAACGACAACGGCATCATGGAAGTCAGCGACGAAGACGACGACCTCAACAACAGCAGCCCCACCAAGTTCGACGGAGTCCGCGGTGAGCCCCAGTTCCATTCTGTCTCCACCGAGGACTCCAAGGCCATGTCCGTCGAGGAGGATACTGTGCTCGAACTGAGTATCGACAAGGACGAGCACGACGTGGATGTGACTGTGGCAAGTTAGGTTAAAAGAGCAAGTGTTCTTAATGCATAACAAATTATAATAAAATGAAAGAAAACAAGAAAGGAAAGCTAACTTCGGGCGGAGCCGAAGTTGATATACCCTTGCAGAATACTCTGTAAATTATATTCTCCAAAATTATTCATATGATGCATTCTTAGTACTCATCAAATATCCCAACTTCCTAACTTTAAAAACACCAAAGTTATGGCATTTCCAATCGTTCAGTTATATGGCAGCTATAAGATATAGTCGGCCGATTCTCATGAAATTCGGTAGGTCAGATTGATTGGCCAAAAATAAAACCTATAGAAAATCTCGACTTCCTAACTTTACAAACACCAAAGTTATGGCATTTCCGATCGTTCAGTTATATGACAGCTATAGGATATAGTCGTCCGATCCCGGCCGTTCCGACTTATATACTGCGTGCAAAGGAAAGAAGGGTGTGTGCAAAGTTTCAATTCGATATCTTTAAAACTGAGAGACTAGTTCGCGTAGAAACAGACAGACGGACAGACGGACATGGCTATATCAACTCAGGAGGTGATCCTGATCAAGAATATATATACTTTATAGGGTCGGAGATGTCTCCTTCACTGCGTTGCACACTTTTGACCAAAATTATAATACCCTCTGCAAGGGTATAATGAAGCGTCGATGGCGGATCAGTGAAATTTCGAACATGTCCTGTTATTATACCCTTGCAGAGGGTATTATAATTTTGGTCAAAAGTGTGCAACGCAGTAAAGGAGACATCTCCGACCCTATAAAGTATATATATTCTTGATCAGGATCACCTCCTGAGTTGATATAGCCATGTCCGTCTGTCCGTCTGTCTGTTTCTACGCAAACTAGTCTCTCAGTTTTAAAGCTATCGAGTTCAAACTTTGCACACACCCTTCTTTCCTTTGCACGCAGTATATATGTCAGAACGGCTATATCCTATAGCTGCCATATAACTGATTGATCGGAAATGCCATAATTTTGGTGTTTGTAAAGTTAGGAAGCTGGGATTTTCTATGGCTTTTATATTTGGCCAATCAGTCCGACCTACCGAATTTCATAAGGATCGGCCGACTATATCCTATAGCTGCCATATAACTGATTGTTCGGAAATGCCATAATTTTGGTGTTTGTAAAGTTAGGAAGCTGGGATTTTCTATGGCTTTTATATTTGGCCAATCAATCCGACCTACCAAATTTCATAAGGATCGGCCGACTATATCCTATAGCCGCCATATAACTGATTGATCTGAAATGCCATAACTTTGGTGTTTGTTCAGTTAGGAAGTTGTGATTTTCTATGGGTTTTATATTTGGCCAATCAATCCGACCTACTAAAGTTCATAAGGATCGGACGACTATATCTTATAGCTGCCATATAACTGAACGATTGGAAATGCTTTAACTTTGGTGTTTTTAAAGTTAGGAAGTTGGGATTTTTTATGAGTATTAAGAATGCATCATATGAATAATTTTGGAGAATATAATTTGAAGAGTATTCTGCAAGGGTATATCAACTTCGGCTCCGCCCGAAGTTAGCTTTCCTTTCTTGTTTTTTGATTTTTTCGCTATTTGACGCACATAATTTGACGCACATTTTTAATATTTATGGCAATCGATGCGTTTTTTTATTAGGTATTTTGAGGTAGTATTTGGTTGTTCTCCAAATGCGGTCACTCAGAAAAAAGCTACAGAGAAGAGGAAGAAAAAATAAGAAATTGAAAAGTTTCACCATCTACAATTAGTTGAAGAAAAAACAAAAAACCGCACGCTTTTCTGTGCGCATTCCTTACTGTTCACCACAACGCAATGATGACTGATGATAAAAGGTAAATTAACTCGATTAACTGCGCATATCACATGTGTGTGTATTGACTGGGGCTCCCTCCCCTCTAACCGAATAGTTATGACTCCAGCAACAACAGCGAGTCGGAGGAGCGTCGGGCCAAGCTAAAAAAGACCAAGAAGCACAAGAAACACAAGAAGTCGTCTGCTAGCAAAGGCGAGAAAGACAGGCATGCCCATAAAAAGCACAAAAAGGCGAAAAAGCGCCCTCACCGCCCAAGCGAGTCGTCGAACGACTCGGACGCGCCGGAAAACGACAAGGTTAAGCTGGCAAGGAGCTCTGGGTTGAGCGGCAAGTTCACCGAGATCATGCAGAAGGCCAGCCGAAACGGAGCCGACTTCCGTATCGGCAAACACCTGCTGCCCACGGACCCCAGCAGCCTGGTGGAGGAGATAACGAAGACCATTCAAAACAAGGTGCTGCCGGTTTTGGAGGTGGCCAGTTCAGGCAGTGAAAGCGATGTGTGAGTGTTATGGCGGACAGTCCAGTCGGTCATATTGATTTTGCCTTTATTTTTTTTAATTGTAGCGCCGCCGATGTGGCCAGCCCTATCATTGCGTCTATTATTGAGGACGAGCTCAACTTGGAGGACCTGATGCGACAGAAGGCTCTTCTACAGGCTCGGCTGGGCGCGTATATGTCGGACCCAGAGGCTGAGCCCCCATCCCGCACACACTCGCTCCCACATTTGCAGCCGCTGGCTGTGCAGGCAAAAGTGGCCAAAGTGACCACCTCGGCAACGCAGTCCGCAGCGCCGCTGGCTACTGCAACCAGTAAACATGCTAATATTAAACAGTCTAGCACGCATAACTCAAATGACTCCGATGTTATATTGTTGGATGATTCTAGCGGAGGCCAGCGCACGCCCGAGAAGCGAAGACGCCAGACATCCCTGCTCCCAACAGCCCCGAGGAGCCGAGCCCGCGATGACCCGGTCCCCGGACGAAGGGAACGGCGTTCGAGAGAACGTGATCGCACGCCCCCACGTCGCCGGGCTGCAGAGCAGCAGATGCAGACCCTGCCGCGCAGCCGCAACCGCAACATGGAGGATTTACGGCAGGAGATAAACCGCGACAAACTGAGGGAGAGGCGCGACCATAGCCGCGACCGGGATCGGCGTGGAGCAGAAAGGCCGCCGCTCATCGATTTGCGATCAGGTCGTGCCCGGGAGCGAGATGTTCGGCAAAATCGCAGTCAACGGTCGCACAGCCGCAGTAAGTTTGAGTCGGACCGGCGCCGTGAGCGGGAGCGGCAAAAGGACCGGGATCGTGGTGGCCTTGACCGTGGTATGGCACGTGGCGGCGCAGACAACGGCGATCGAGATCGGTACAAGGGTTCTCTTAGCGAAGGGCAAAAAAAGCACGACAAAGAGAGCAGTGACGAAGAGGTCAACCTGGACATTGACATTGACGAGGACGATGATGACGAAGAGCTTATCATTGAGCTGCGTCGGAAAAAGCGGGAGGAGCTGCTCAAGGTGGGTATTAATTTTTTGTTAATGCCGTGAAGTTATTGAACTTAAACGATTTTTTTGTAACTTCCAACAGAAACTGGGCACAGGGCAGGAATCACCGACGCCACATAACTCAACCTCCTACGAGTCTCGAAGCACTTCGCCAGGTTCATCCCAACGCGAAAGGCCTCCTAGGACGCCCACGCCCACTTTAGCTGAGTCTGATTTGCCCATCGCTGATCTGCCGAAGGAGCACCAGCAGCTGGACAACTCGAGTAGCCAAAGGAACACCTCCGTCAAGGAAAAACGAAACGAGTGGGATATGTTTGCCGACCAGGATGTGGATTCAAATTTCGATGTGAGTCGCAGGATTGTAAATTTCAGAGTCCACTTTCCTTATAACAGTTACTAATTTTGAGTTTGTATTACTTAGTCGCCCAACACAATCGTCCAAAGCAAGCACCAACACGAAAATCCCGCTCTTACTGACAACTGGGACGACGCAGAAGGGTATTACCGAGTTCGGATCGGTGAAGTGTTGGACAATCGCTACCTTGTGAATGGCTACACTGGCCAGGGTGTCTTTAGCAATGTTGTCCGTGGCCGAGACCAAGCTCGGGGACAGGCAAATGTTGCCATCAAGATCATACGAAACAATGAAATAATGTAAGCGAACTTCTTATCTTAATCTAAAATATCCCTTTATACGGACTTTTCCTATTAGGCACAAAACTGGATTGCGGGAACTGGAAATCCTTAAGAAACTGAACGATGCGGATCCGGAAGACCGATTCCACTGCCTGCGTTTGTACCGCCACTTTTTCCACAAACAGGTTATTTACTATCAATTATTAGTTGTTAATGGGCTTTATTACAATGTTTATTTTTCTGCTGTAGCATCTCTGCATGGTGTTCGAGCCATTGGCAATGAATTTGCGTGAAGTACTCAAGAAGTACGGCAAGAATGTGGGCCTCCACATTAAAGCAGTACGTAGCTACACGCAGCAACTATTTTTGGCACTAAAATTGCTAAAAAAGACTGGCATTTTGCATGCGGACATTAAACCGGACAACATTTTGGTCAACGAAAATAATCTGATACTGAAGTTATGCGATTTTGGTTCAGCCTCGGCCATTAGCGACAACGAAATTACTCCGTACTTAGTGTCTCGTTTCTACCGCTCTCCAGAAATTATTTTGGGAATACCTTACGATTATGGAATCGACACCTGGTCCGCCGGCTGCACAATTTATGAGCTGTACACGGGTAAAATTCTTTTTAGTGGGAAGAGCAACAACCAAATGCTTAAGTTTTTTATGGACGTAAAGGGCAAGATACCAAACCGAATTGTCAGAAAAGGTCAGTTTAAAGAGCAGCACTTTGATCAGAGCTGCAACTTCCTATACCACGAAATAGATAAGCTCACCGAAAGGGTAAGTGTCTTTGGAATGATGAGGGAAGCAAGTGCGTGAACTAAAAGGAGTTTCTTCTGCAGGAAAAGATTGTTGTAATGCCGGTCGTTAAGCCTTCACGTAGCTTGCAGCAGGAACTTATTGCTGACCAAAACCTGCCAGACGACCAGCATCGCAAGGTCACTCAGCTCAAGGATCTGCTGGAGAACATGTTTGCCCTGGATCCGGCTAAACGGATCTCTCTCAACCAGGCACTGGTTCACCCATTTATCCAAGAGAAGATGTAAACCGAACGACGGCATCGATTAAACGTAATTTTATTTTGCATAGCTCGTAAGACTACCGATACACCCAATTCGCTAGTTAGTTACTAGTTCTCGTTCTTAATCAGACAAACATGCTCACCCAAAAATCACAGGATCTATACATCTTACACAGGCGATGTAAATAAGCTCTGTGGTTTTTAGCTGTACGGCGTGTTTAGAGAAACGAATTATAAAAAATATTATTCAGTTAGCAAATGTTCCGCAACTTGTTATTCGTGTGTGTATCATGCGTGTATATAAGTATTTTAATGCTACTACTGTATAAAATGCATGTGAACGATTTGCCACACACAATATATATATAAACATAAGCACTGTTTCCTTTTGTCCTGTGAATCGTATTAATGTGTACTACAATTTCAGTGTGCTGCTGTTTACGGAAGAGCATTCCATGGCCTTGTGGCTGATTCAACTGGTAATAATAAAATTCACGACCTTGCAGAGCATACCCTCTTAATTTTCATGATCTGTATGTCCCTCCGATTGCTACAAATGCCACTTATTGAACCACTTTATAAAATTAACAATTTTGATCAAGGTAGTCTGCACACAAATATTATTTCCTATCCTCCTACAAGCTTTTTTATCTTATGAAATTGATTTCATTGTATCCGTTAATTCGCTTAAAGATGAAAGACTGCCGCTGCAAGGAACCGGATGCTTCGGCTGGTCGAAGAAAGCATCAGGCATATAAGCTTTAAACTGGTCGACTAACTGTCAGTTTCAGCCCATCTTTCACAAACCACATGTCGCTAATACCTTAATTTTCTTTAAACTTGCAGTTTGGGTTGTCTACACATTTTACCTGCAGCTCTCAGTGCCAATTGCCTGATGCAACTCGTGAGTAGACTAATTGAAACATTCCGCAACAGGCTCTGTCATCCTATTCAGAATGTCCAAGTTAAGTAGTGTCGCGTGATGAAGCGTTCTTCAGGTGAGCTTAATTTTATTTAATATCGAAGTGTAAATATAGGCATGTACTAATGCTGGTTCAATAGCAGACCGCTAGTCCAAGTCATCGGTAGGTACCGGCAGCTCCAGTGCTGCCTGAAGTGTCTTGCTCGAGCATAGAGTGTATAGTCCCGGGGGCTGTAATTCGCTTTTGAGCAAGCACTTGAATTTCTTGGGCTTCCAGTTGTTGTCCGCGTAGGGATCCCGCAGCAGTCCAAAGGCGCACTCAAAGACTCCAACGCAGCTTTTGGGCGTGTGCAGAGTTCCGCAGCAGAGCACCATGACCTGTCCGTACGCATCCATCCGGCCCTGAATCCCGGCGTGTGTCAAGTTTGGATTGAAGTGAAAGCCAAACTGCTTTTTGGCGCTCGTTAGTGCCGACAGCACCTCTGCAGCCGTCGCACACTCCAGCTCATTGATCCCATCGCTGGCCACGATGGTGAGGTGCAGAGCCGCGTCGGTCCACAGGTCCACCAGGCTCAAACTGTCTGAATTGAAACGTTCAAAGAACCATTCTCCAAACTTTCGGGCGATAGCGTGAATGGGGTAATTCTCGTCGTTTAGCTTGTAAGTCGCGTAAACTGAGACGGCAGCTTGACCTCTAGAAGTTATGTTTGACTCCGTTCCCTTTTCCTGTTCCCAGTACTGAATCACCTTTGCTACAAGGTCCGCCTTAGTGAAATCAGTGGCAACGTTCGGCTGTCGAGTGTGCCAGTAACTGAACAGAAGTTCTCTGGTTATAGCGCGTTTGTAAAGCAGGGTGTAAATGTCGGGAATATGTGCAGTGAGCAGTCTAAGGGCTTCTGCAGAAGAAGATTAATCCAAGCATAAGACACTTTGTTATTAAATAACCTCTGTGAGGACAATCTCACCTTCTGGATCCTCGGTTTTCCACACATTTTTCGTGGTGCTATTGACCAACTGCAGCAGAACCGGCGAGTTCTTTTCATTCAGAAGTAGATCGCGGAGTCCTGCCTTCTGGGTCTCTGAAATCGGCATAGCTGCCAGCCAGTTTTCTTGTCGAATGCTAGAATGCTATCGATTCGAAAATTCGTATCTTTATTGATTGTTATTATTTTGCGAATTTGCGTTTCGGTCAGCTGATATCTTACAGGTAGCGGTCACACTTTACAGTGTTGTCCCACGGAAGTGGTAAAATAAATCTATTTCGCTGTGAATGGCCGTTTATCCGCAACTTAAACATGAACATAAAAACAAATATTTTGCTCGGGCTAATCCAGTTCCAATATTATCTAATATATCTGCATTATGACTCCAATTAAATAAAAGTCCTTAATAAAATTGTGAATTTTGTTTTTAATTAATAAAAACAGTTTGTCGAAGTGTTCGGATTATTGCTCGCGCATAAACCCTTCATCGCTCATACGTATTCACACCCATTCGCAGTAAATAATATTTACTCCGGAACGAGTTTTCTTCGGTTGCACACACAGCAACGATTAGCAAGAGGCTCGCTCACCTTATCTCTTATCGCATAATTTCCGTCGAATATGTCGACAAGATTCCAATAAATAATTTTAGTGTCGAGCAAACCCGCGAGAAAGCAAACAGCATTTATTGACAGTGTACTCTGAACTCCCAGTAAGAAATGGATTCTCCTACCTCCGAGACTACCTCGCCTCCGCCCGCACCATTTGGTCCATTCGTGGGGGCAATTGACGAGGGAACCACCTCTGCCCGGTTCATCATATTCCGCGCCGGCACTGACGAAATTGTGTGCTTCCACCAAATCGAGGTGGAATCAATTTTCCAGAAGGAAGGATGGTGCGAACAGGATCCCATGGCCATAATAAAAACAGTCAACGAGTGCATCGATGGAGCGTGCAAGAAACTCGTAGCCGTGGGCGGCAAAGTTGAGGTACGTCCTGCTCTAAAATTATCCACTCCCACCCATCTAATCTCCTTCAGAGATGGGCGATCGACGGGTTATTTATTATAGTAATAAACACATGACTGAGGAAAGAGTCGGGACTAGCAGTTAGCTACAGTCCAGCAGAAACTTACGGTACACTTTCGCCTCCTCGATCCTCTCCTGGATCGTGCGGGGTGGCTTTTCTTCGGCGCATTCGTCTAGTTTCACGTATATCTGATCGTTGTGGCCAAAGTCCCCGTTGCGGCGGGGCATAACGTGGAAGTGCACGTGGGGAACAGTTTGTCCGGCCTGGGCGCCGTCCTGCACCGTTACGGTGGCCGAAGTAGTTTTGTAAATCTTCTCCAGCAGCCTCTGCACCATGCAAACCGTCGCGAACATATCCGCCATCTCAGCACAGTCGAGGCCGCAAAGCCGCGGAGTTACCCGCTTGGTTGATACCAGAACATGACCATCGACCACGCAACGTAAGTTGGTAAAGGCAAAGCAGTGCTCCGATTCGTAGAAAATTGTGCGTTTGTCCACAATGTTGTGGGCAAAGGGGCGATCCTCTGCAGGTTTCTTGCTCCGAATGTTGTAGGCCGTCAGGCTATAAAGATCGTGCCGCCGGTGTTGAAAACTGGGCATGCTCTGATACAGGGCCTCCAGCGTCGAAAGGTCCACTTCGGCAATTCCGATTTCAAGCTCCTGCTCGCCGCCGCAGTTGGCCAGCACCTTTCCCCAAGGGCTGACTATCATGCTGTGACCCCAACTCTGCCGCTTCTGGTTATGCCATCCTTGCTGGGCCGCTGCGATCACAAAGCACTGCGTCTCGATCGCCCTCGCCCGCAATAGTATCTCCCAGTGTGCCTTGCCCGTGGCGTAGGTAAAGGCAGCCGGGTACGTGAGCAACTGTGCACCCAGTTTTCTTAACAGCACCGCTGGCTCGGCAAACCGGAGATCGTAGCAGATTTGGAGTCCAACCTGACCGGCGGGCGTGCTTATTGGCCGCTCTAGGCGCTCGCCCGGCGTCACGGTGTTCGACTCCCGCAGGCTTATCTCTTTGGTGGTGGCGTCGAACAAATGCATTTTCCTGTATACCGCGGCCAGCTCTCCTTTCTCATTTACCAGAACGTGCGCGTTGTAGATCTTACCCTGGTCGTTCCGTTCGTGCACTCCGCCCAGGGACAGCCAGATCCCGTTGCTTTTGGCCAGATCGCAGTACTGGGCCATCAGCTCTCCATCCAGTTTTTCAGACATCTCCAGAGTCTGGGCGTGGTTCTCGCCCACAAAATCGCAACATTCGGGAAGGAAGAGCATGCAGGCGTTCCTAGACTTGGCCCTAGCTACCAGCTCCTTTACCTGGCAGAGATTGGCCACCTTGTCACTGGTGGATCGCATTTGGCCCACGGCAATGGTCGCCCTTTGACCTCTAGGCTCTTGGACAGACATCCTGCGTAGTTTCTGCGTATGGGGGGTGGTCACTATGCTTCGTCGTATAAATCTGACTAGAACTGACATTGAAACAGGCCGCCTACGGTGGAAAATTCCGTTCTAATTACGTCGCAGGTTGTTATCAATTATTTTCTCTAGGTTGTTTACGGCTCCCGTTATTGTCGGCGTTTTCCTGGTAATGGCAACAGTGTGTACACAGTTATAAGGAAAAATATATATCCAACTTGTAAGGTGACGCCAGCTGCGTTGCTTGCGGGGATTTTAAAAATCTCGGGGATAGTTTTATCCTTAACCTAGTATCCCAACTTGCTAAATTCATTTACACAATTTTTTGACATTAGTATGTAAATCTTGGCCATATCCTGTAGCTTTTAAATCTGGCCAACTCACTATTTAATTTGAAAGTTCCTTTCTCGTTTATCTTAAATTGAATAAATATAATTTCCTTTTTGTTCTCTCTTAACTTTCGGCTAAAAAAACTAAATAGTAGCATCGCTGTTTCATTGTAAAGGGAAAACTTTTAGTTTATAATATTTATTTTTAACTGGAAGGTGCGTAACGGGAATAAAGTTTTTACTTTTCTTGTTTTTATTAGTTTTCAGCTTTGGTTAAACTATTTGAGTCCTTCATTGTTCTAATTATAAATAACAGAAAAAGCATCGGTTTAAATATTTTAAAATTAATACTTTTCTTCGGGGTTATTTCAGGATATTATTACTATTGGCATAACCAACCAACGCGAGTCTACCGTTGTGTGGGATCGACACACCGGCCAGCCGCTAGTTAACGCCATCATATGGCTGGACAATCGGACCACCACCACGGTGGAAGAGTTGCTAGAAACGATTCCCAACAACGCCAGGAACATCAATTACCTACGACCGCTGTGTGGACTCCCACTTTCCCCGTACTTCTCGGGCGTAAAGCTCCGATGGCTGAGGGACAACGTTCCGGTGGTCAACCAGGCCTTCTCGAAGGGTTCTGCAATGTTCGGAACCATAGATACCTGGTTGATGTACAACCTGACGGGCGGAAAACACGGTGGCGTCCACAAGACGGACGTCACCAACGCCTCCCGGACCATGCTCATGAACATCGAAACCCTCCAGTGGGATCTCAATTTGCTCAAGTTCTTCGGTCTGCCCAAGAGTATTCTACCGGAAATCTGCTCAAGCGCGGAATTCTACGGCAACATTGCGCAGGGTGTGCTTAAGGACATCAGCATAAGCTCGGATTTGGGCGACCAGCAGGCGGCTTTGGTGGGACAGCAGTGTATGGCCAAGGGACAGGCCAAGGCCACGTACGGCACTGGATGTTTCCTGCTCTACAACACAGGATCCTCCATCGTGCACTCCCAACACGGACTGTTAACAACGGTGGGCTACCAACTGGGCAGGAAAGCAACCCCCTTTTACGCCCTCGAGGGCAGCGTGTCCATTGCCGGCGCAGCCTTTAACTGGCTGCGCGACAACATTAACCTTATCCAGAACTCGGGCCAGATCGAGACCATGGCCAGCACTGTGGATAACTCCCTGGATGTGTACTTCGTGCCAGCCTTCAATGGACTCTACGCTCCCTACTGGAACCAGGACGCCCGTGGTGTTATTTGCGGACTAAGTGAGGAGACAACAAGTGAACACATAGTGCGTGCCACCCTGGAGGCGGTTTGTTTCCAGGTCCGGGATATTCTTGATTCGATGCATAAGGATTGCAAAATCCCGCTGGCCAAGCTGATGGTGGACGGGGGCATGACTGTAAATAACCTGTTCCTGCAACTGCAGTCCGACCTGGTCGGAATTCAAGTGCTCAGGGCGAAGATCGCGGAGACAACAGCGCTGGTTAGTACTTTAATGTTTGGAGTAGGTGCAGCAATTCTATACACTACTGTTTTAGGGAGCTGCCATGGCAGCCTACAAAGCTGTGGAGAGTCGCTACCAAATGGAGGCGCCCCTCTCAAAGTCTGGACCCCGGGAAGCTATCAAGCCGTCGATCAGTGCCACCGACCGCAACCTACGGTACCAGAAGTGGAAAATGGCCATCGAGCGCTCTCTGAACTGGGAGACCTCGACCCTTCCGCACGGGGAACGCGAGGCCTTTGATGGACCGTAGGCGCAGCTAATCCCCGGTAATTTTTTTGATCATAATTTGTAGTTGATGGTTTTACTAATGTCGCCCTAGTCAGTGGCCTAAATTTGGTTATTTTGCGTTCGAAATTTCAATTTATTGCGTATATAAAAATGTTGATGAAAAACGTAGAAAGAATTTTCTGTGCGCGATGCTACTCTGGCAGTGTGTTCCGACTTTCCATGCGGTCCGTTGCTCACATATTTTGCTCCACTATGCCTGCGGCATCTGCGATTGCGGCCTGGTCCAACTCATTGAGTATCACAACGCCTCCAGCTGCCTCATCAACAGCAACTACAGCTGCCGGACCAGCCACGCCCACTACGGGGACGGCAACCACGCCGATGGCGAGCTCTGCGTTGTTGGGATTCGGATTGATCACTGCGATGGGCGGAATCGGGTTTCCACCTGGAAAGGAATTGGGGCTTTAGGGAGCTATTACTCTCCACGTCGAGCCTTACGCACTTGCGTCCAATTCCAGTGGCGGATCGGCATTCGCTTCGGCGAGATTCGTTACAGACTTGGATTTCACACACTGGAAATCTACATGTCGACTCTTTGCCTCCTCCTTCTCCCAGGACATGTGAATGAACGGGCGCTGCACATAGCTGTAGATAACCTCGGCCCGTCCGCCAGGACGCCTTCGAATTTTCTCCTTGTGGGTGGGGTACCCTTCTATGCCGCAGCGGATTTTCTTTAGTCCGCGGTCCTTCATCACCTGCTTAGCAACATCCCGGTTCTCGATGTACTTGAAGAATCGGTGCATGGCAGTGCTGTGAACGGCTATGTTGGAAAATATATGGGTTTATTTATGAGATTCAATAACATGTGAGCAACGCAACTTTTAAAATTAATAATTTGCCGTTAATTACCCGTAAAAAAAATATTTGACCTTAAATCTTTTTTAAAGTTATGGGATGGTATCAAGTTGAACATTCTCATAACCACTTACTCTGGCAATACTCCTCTCCCATTTGAGGCGGAAACTCCTCGTCCCATTCGACCATATCGTCTTCGAGGAGCACCACCACGTGGCATTCTCGATCGCCACGCTGCGCCGAGGCCACCATAAGGGGTAGAATTAGGTCTTCGAGGAAGAGCTCAAACTGCTGCCGTGCTCCTTCGTTGCTGAGCTCATGAAGCAGGCCTCCTTTATGTCGAACACAGAAGGCATAGGCATGTTACAAGGAAAAAGACGGGAGAGAAGCAGAGAGCAGAACAGCAGGAGCACAACTAAGGTTCGCCCAGGCAATAGAAGCTCGCGGTATACTCACTTAAGTTCTGGCAGCGCACGGTGGTTGCGTCGAAGGGGATGAGCAGGTAATCACAGGCTTCCTTCAGCTCCGGCACAGAAACAGTAGGGGGGCAGCGGATCACGCCGCTCTTGTAATACTCCAGGATGGCCCGGAAAACTAGGTGGGAGATGCCGTCGGCCACGTCGTATTCTCCGCGATCGTTTGCATGCGCAAACTGGAATCCGGTCCCGAACATAGTCCCCAACATCGTGGTGGGATGGGCTGTGAGCAGGGACTGCTCCACCGTGAATCGCACGCCATCTACCAGCATAGAGATCCTCTCGGGCGGTGCCTGCAGGCGCCCTCCTGTTGCCTGGCAGATAGGAGATGCACCGCCCGGGGACTTGCCATCGTGCTTGGGCACGGCTCCGGACATGTTGTGCTGCGGCCTGTTCAGCCGGCTGCGCTCCTTCAGGATTCGCCTCCTCCGCTCCTCGGCGGTCTCCAGGCCCTCCTCGCTGCTGTCGCTGCTGTACGTGTCCTGCTTTTGCGTCTGCTTGCTGTTGCTGGTGCTACTACTGCTGTTGGAGTTGGGAGTGGTTGACATGTTTGTTGCGTTTACTGAACCGCTCTACATATATCCAGGTTTACACGCTCCGCCCGACTTTTCATGCGAGACAAAGACGATCTGTTGAGGGCAGAAGACGGTCAAATTAGCGCGGCCTGCCTATCACTTCATCTGGGTTTGGGGTCGGATTGAATAGCATTCACATTACCGTTGTGCGACGCGACTATTCTATAGCCCTTTTTACATACTATTATAAATATACATATTTTTCCTGTTGGTGCTGGAGATGGATTGACGAATCGATGGTTTTGTACCGCACGATAGTTTCAATTTAAGCGATATTTCCATAAATTGTATATTTTATTTTTAATTTTTGATGCTTCCTGAAAGATTTAGTGAATAAAATATATTTTTGTTCGTCAGCATCACTTAGTGACATATCTCTATTTCGTTTAAATTTAAATCGGGCTTTGTCAGCATCCAGTAAATGTTTGTCCATTTTCTTTAATGATATATAACATGCGTTTGTGGCTTTTTTAAAAGTATATTTGTATTTTAATTTTTTAATGTTTTTTTATAAATTAAATGTTCAAATATTTTTTACGACTGAATACAGCCCTGGGAAAATGCAACTCTGTGTATACTCAAGCTATACGTATCGATAGCCTTAACCGATTACTTGCATTCGATAGTTTAAATTTGCAACCGTTCATCATGGCGATCTGAGAAAAATAATTTTTGCTCAAAAATAAAATAAATAATCAAGAGAATTGTAATTGCTGCGAATGCAAATGTGATTACGCGAAACGTGAGTTCAAATAGGACGCTGCGCGAAATCCGACGGATACGGACGGTTTTCAGCCAGTAACAAGTGCCTGGCGTGTGTGTCTGCGGCGGCAAAAAACCCAAATGTAAAATATATAACAAAATCCCAACTACCCCAAGACTTTGTCGTGCGAAAGTGGCGGCCCAAGTGGGCGTAGTGGGTTTGGCAGTGGGAAAGCGCGCAGATTACCCACTCAGGTGTGCGGTTTGCAATAACAAATAATTTGTTACAATAAAAGTGGAAAAAAGTGCAAAAAAAAAACTATGATTGCTTCTAAGCATTGGAGAAGGGGCGAAGGGGGATGGCTGGCTGGCGAGTAGAAGCTGGCGTATGCAACACGCGCGCCACCTGCTTGCCTCTCGCTCGCTCTCACGCGGGGAATAAGCGCGCCCTTTACGAGCGTGCTGCGTGCGAGAGAGACGGTGCCAGTGAGGTTTTGTAGCAGACAACAATTGTTTGGCAGCCCGAGCGTTTTTCTATATTTTTTGTGTATTTTCGGAATGGACAAGAAATGTGGAAACTAACTTGAAACGCTCCTGCTACCAGCGAATAGCCAACTAACATTCGTCTCTGCTCGTCAGACTTGCAGATGCTCGTTGAGAAACCAAAATAGTGAACCAAGCGCCAGCAAAAACCTGCAAAAAACCAAAGTGTGCAAAAACAACGAACAATAACAAAAGGAAGCAAGCGGAAGGTAGCAGTGTACTAACTCGCCCGTGGAGAAGTGCGGAGCACAGAACTGCAAAGTGGCGTCGCTACTGGATATCCGGGCTGGGGCAGCAGCGGCGTCCATGTCCACGGGGCAACAAGGGTGGACCACCAAGAACCACGACCGCACCACAGCCAGGAGAACGCAGCAACAGCCGCAGCCGGTGTGGTGTCGCCAACTTTGGCCTTAAGCATGTAGTGAGTTGCATCAATTGTCCTCTGAATGGGACCCTGACCTATACTGATCCACCTACAGGTCTAGCAGCAAAGAACCCGTTCTCTAACAAGCACAAGACACAAGGGACAAGGTACCAAACGTAGCAAAAACACACACAAATCCAATCAACACCAATGAAAAATGTCACAAAGAGGTAAGCGCGGTAATCAGCATCACCACCAGTCGCACCATCCGCCGCCGCAGCAGCAGCGCAAGGATGTTGAGCCGCCGCCCACCAAGCGGCGCAAAGGCAGGCCGCCCAATGGGGCGACTACGACTGGAGTCGGATCTGCAGCGGGTCTAGCAGCTCCGGGGTCAGAGCGGGTTCCAGGTCTACCTCTAAGCAACAGCAAGCATGACCAACAGGGGGAGCCAGATGCTGAAGCAGGAGGAGGCGAAGGAAGAACAGCGGTAGGCGCCGGCAGCACTAGCAAATCCAAGTCAACGAAGCTGGCCAAGTCGACAAGCAAATGCAAGTCGCAAGGGGCGAGTTCGAGCAGCTCCTGGCAGGCGCGCTCTGTCGCGGACATTAAGATGTCGAGCATCTACAATCGCAGCTCAACGGAAGCCCCAGCTGAACTTTACCGGTAAGGCAATAATCAGCGGACCAACAAGTAAACATTTAACAGCATTCCATTCTTCATTAAATTGTAGCAAGGATCTCATTAGCGCAATGAAATTGCCAGACTCTGAGCCGCTGGCCAACTACGAGTATTTAATAGTAACGGACCAATGGAAGCAAGAATGGGAGAAGGGCGTGCAAGTGCCCGTCAACCCGGACTCCCTTCCGGAGCCATGCGTTTACGTTCTGCCCGAGCCTGTTGTGTCCCCGGCACACGACTTTAAGCTGTGAGCTCTCACCTAATTAACACCTGTCAAACTGACCATAAACTCTGCCTTCCGTTTTTTGTTTGCAGTCCGAAAAATCGTTATCTGCGCATTACCAAAGACGAGCACTACTCGCCGGATCTGCATTACCTGACGAATGTCGTTGCCTTGGCGGAAAACACTTGTGCCTATGATATAGATCCCATTGACGAAGCCTGGCTGCACCTCTACAACGGAGATCGTGCCCAGTGCGGTGCTTTTCCCATCAACGCTACGCAGTTTGAGCGCGTTATTGAGGAGCTGGAGGTACGTATTCTGGGACTCATTTTCTGGACCAATGTACTGACCGTTGTATTTTAGGTTCGTTGCTGGGAACAAATTCAAGTCATACTTAAACAGGAGGAAGGCTTGGGTATCGAATTCGATGAGAATGTCATCTGCGATGTTTGTCGGTCACCCGACTCTGAGGAGGCCAATGAAATGGTATTCTGTGATAATTGCAATATCTGTGTGCACCAAGCTTGTTACGGCATTACAGCGATTCCATCAGGTAAGCACCTGAAGCTAAAGACATTGTCACTGTTTGCTCATTTGGATTCTTATTTTAGGCCAATGGCTCTGTCGCACTTGCTCCATGGGCATCAAGCCAGATTGCGTTCTTTGTCCGAACAAGGGCGGCGCCATGAAGTCCAACAAGTCGGGAAAGCACTGGGCACACGTCTCCTGCGCCCTGTGGATACCCGAGGTCAGCATTGGGTGTGTGGACCGCATGGAACCCATTACGAAAATTTCAAGCATTCCTCAGTCGCGCTGGTCTCTGATCTGTGTGCTTTGCCGTAAGCGCGTTGGCAGCTGCATCCAGTGCTCAGTAAAGCCATGCAAAACCGCATATCATGTGACCTGCGCGTTCCAGCACGGCTTAGAAATGCGTGCAATCATCGAAGAAGGCAATGCTGAGGACGGCGTGAAGCTGCGCTCCTATTGCCAAAAACACAGCATGAGCAAGGGTAAGAAGGAGAATGCTGGTGGCCATGGCGGAGGTAGTGCCTCAGTCGCAAGCGCCATGCACAAAGCGAACAGGTACGGCAGTAGCACAGGCGGGGCAGCAGATGATGTCAGCAACGCGTACGGGACATCTGGAGAGGATCCCCGCAGGCGGAAAAATCATCGAAAAACCGAACTGACCTCCGAGGAGCGTAACCAAGCGAGGGCTCAGCGTCTTCAGGTAAGTTTACTCATGACCTTTAAATCTGTAGTTGTACACTTATTGCATGCCTTCGGTGCTAACTTTTCCGTTTTACTTTCAGGAGGTGGAGGCTGAGTTCGATATGCACGTTAACATTAATGACATAAGTTGCCATCTCTTTGATGTTGATGACGATGCCATTATTGCCATATACAACTATTGGAAGCTCAAGCGAAAGTCTAGACACAACCGCGAACTAATCCCGCCAAAATCCGAAGACGTGGAGATGATAGCACGCAAGCAAGAGCAGCATGACATGGAAAATCATAAACTAGTGGTTCACTTGCGACAGGACTTGGAGCGAGTTCGTAATCTTTGCTATATGGTCAGTCGAAGAGAGAAGCTTTCGCGATCTCTCTTTAAGCTTCGCGAGCAGGTCTTCTACAAGCAGCTCGGAGTGCTGGATGAAATGCGCCTCGAGAAGCAACAACCGAAGCAGGATGAAAAGCAGCGGCCAGTAATGGACCTGGACGCAGTCATCTACGCCAACGACGGACCCACTTTGTACGACCGCTTTTACAGCTCAGCTGGAGGACAAACTGTGCCGGCGCAGTACCAGGATTTAAAGTATATTCTCGAACAGCTGATGGGTAAGAAACAGAGTGGTAAACAGGGACGTGGCCGTGCTTCTCAGTCTCCTAACAAGCGCAAACAGCCCGCAAAAGCCTCGCCCAATAAAAAGCTCAATAATGGCGCCCTCAGCTCCCGCACGTCTTCGCCTGAGAAGCCAGCGGGATCATCGAGTAAGGTGGGACCGACTGTCGCTAAGGTACGGGGATCCCCGCCTGGGAAGCCGCCTACAGGGAGGCGTGCCTCAAAGAGCAGCGCGGCGGCGGCGACGTCGACCCACAACAGAAATCAATTGCCCCCAAATATCCGCAATAGCGCGTCCTCCCATTCGTCAAGCGGCAGTTCATCATCGGGTAATTCCAGCTCGGCGAATAACAGCAGTAGTTGCGATAGTTCATCTGGAAGTGAATCGGGTAGTGAGAGCGGAAGCTCCAGCGCGGCCAGCGGAGTCTCCAACCGAAAGTCTTCCTCAGGAAGAAGCCCCCTTAAGAAGCAAACCTATGCCCGCTCCGTTCAACAGCGGCAGAAACAGCGCCAGCATCGCCAAAGTGAAGCAGCTACGGGTCTGTCTGCAGCGTCTCCGGATTCCAGGTCCGCAAGCAGCTCCAGCGAAGACGAAGGCGATCGTCGTAAAAGTGGGCAAGACCCAGAGCGCGGGACGAGACGTGGACCAGTCCACAGCAAACCAGTACCTAACAAAAGCCAGCCAACTAAGTCAAAACCAATCACAGAAACAGGTGCTGGTGCGTCAGGGAGAAGAAAACTGTCCACGACAACACGAGGACTTGCCCAAATGGACAAAGATGCCGAGGAGAGCTTGTCGAGCGACGAAAGTGAAGAGTTGCTGCCTCTGAGGCGCGAACGGCCTGAGATCATAACGACGTCTGGACTGCTTCCGACTGGCGACTCGGCCACAAGTCGAAAGATGGGCCAGCACATATACTCCGACTCGGAAAGCAGTTCCTCTTCCCAGGGAAAAGACCCGGAGGAGCAGGCAACTGTGGAAAGTAACGTGAGTGATTCACAAAACCAGCAGACGATTCGAACGAAGGCGGCTATGAAAGAGTTTGTGCCAGGAACAGCCGCCACAACCGCCAACACTCCCCAAGCTGCGTCATCGGCTAGCAAAGCTAAGTCGATCCGTGAAGGAAAGGACGCGAAGGACGGAGCTAGCAGTACCATTAACAGCATCAGCACAAAGTGTAAAACGAATTCGAATGCCAAGTTGCCATATCCGGCAGATCTCCTTGTGGTGCCACAGCGACAGGCAGCCAAAAAGGCATCCGAAAACATGCGGTCCACGAATCTCGCCACAACGCTTCAACCAGATGCCTCTGACAGAGTCCGAGAGCCGGAAACGAACTCATCAAGTGCCAAAAGCAGGCTTAATGCCTCATGCTCCCGAGCAGCGCTTGACACGGATAAGTCCAGTCTCGAGAAAGTCCGACAAAAGGAGCAACCACAAAAAGGGGGTGGGAAGGCATCCGAAAACGCACCCGCGGAACGTGGAAAGCGTGGAAGACCACCAAAGGTTGCAAAGGACCCGCGTCCACTTCTGTCTACTTCGGAAAAAGAAAAGGCTCCGGTTCCCACGCCGCCTCAAACCAAGGCCCCACCTGTCGCCAGTGCCCCAGCCAAGTTAAACTTTGCCGTATCCCTGGTTCCTCAACGTCAAGCGGCTAAGAAGGCAGCGGAACAGTTGAAAAGTAGCAAACCGGTACCAGAATCTTTCTCAACTGGGAACGACATTTCGGATAAGGAACCAGTGACGCTAGCGACTGGACATGGAACGGGACCGTCTGCGTCAGTTACACCGGCTCGACGGACCTCACTTAAGGAATCACAAATTACTCCAAAGGAAGTCTTAAGTAGTAAGAGAAGGTCGAAAGAAGATCCGGCAGCGACTCCTATAAAGACTCCAGTCAAGCGCCGCGTAGCGGCACCCAATCTTTCAAGTTCCAGCTCCGGGGACAGCGACAGCTCCAGTTCTTCCAGCAGCTCGGGAAGCAGTTCGAGCAGTGGCGCAAGCGACTCCGATAGCGAGTCTCAGGCCAGTGATTCGGGGAAACCATCAAACAGAGAGCCTGCACAGGTCACTCCGTCAGTTCCTTCTGTGTCCTCCAATATGCCAAAGCGTTCACCTCGCAAGTCTTTGGACAAACCGGCAATATCCGCCGTAACCGTTGCACCAGCACCGCAGCCTCCAGCTACGCGGTCTCGTCAGAACTCTACTACAAAATCGCCAAAGAGAGCATTACAGAAGCCAGTGGCAAACGCTCAGGAGGATATCTCAAGTACTCCCAAGGCACAGTTGCTCCGCCGACAGGGGTCTTTAGAAGAGGGGGCAAAGCAAGCCCACTCAGAACAGGCCACAAAGCGGGCGACCCGTGGCTCCAAATCGAGGCCTCCCTCACCCACCGCCAAATCCTCTCCAGAAAAGACAACTTCCAGGCGCAAATCCCGAACGGATGACTCACCGAAGAAGGTGGCAAATTTGGAACATGAAATTAACCAAAGGAAAGCAGCCAGCGGCAAGGCAACTAGTTCGCTGGACAAGCTTCTGAACAAGAAGCAGCAGCAGATGAACCCTTCTGTACCAGCGACACCAGCACCAATGTCACCGACGCCACCTGCTTCCGCCATACCCATAGTGAAAATTCAACGTGATCCCGAAGAGGCGCCCATTCAACAGACCAACCTGGAACCAGATGCGCAGGCTGAACCCGAGCCGGAGACCGACACTGCGGCAGAAGCTGGTGAACTGCCTATGGATATTGATGAGGAGCTGACTACCGCTCCAACGCGTACGCAACTGTCCGCCAATGCGAGTAAATTAGCGGACATTATCGACGATGAGCGACCCCCTGCTGCTCCGCTTCCAGCTTCGCCCACACCTACTCCTACCTCTAATGACGAGTTGTCCGACGCCGGAAGTGATCTAAGCGAGCGAAGGCGCATTCGCTGGCGGTCCAGGCGGAGAAGGAGAAGACGCAGCCACGAGCCGGACGAGGAACATACGCATCACACTCAACACCTTCTCAACGAGATGGAAATGGCCAGGGAGTTGGAGGAGGAACGTAAGAACGAGCTACTTGCGAATGCAAGTAAATACTCGGCGTCCACCTCCTCTCCAGCAGTCACGGTTATTCCTCCCGACCCGCCGGAAATCATTGAACTTGACTCAAACTCTGCGAACTCTGGAGCAGATCAGAATCAGCTACTGCTGCAAGAGCAATCCTTGCCGGCTCCGCTTGTTGTGCAGTCCCCGGCAGCAGAGGTGGTACAAAAAGCTATTCAGCAACAACTGATTCCTTCGCATCAGCCTCTTATCGAGCAACTTCCTGTCGAGCACTTGCCGCCAGTGTTGACGGAGCCCATCGTTGACACAATACTCGAGATGGAAGACAGCAAATTCGCAAATAACTTTGCGTCGAGCTTAGCCAGCGTGTTAAATCCACCCAATCCAGGGCAGATAAGCCTCCTTGGTTCTAGCATGGATAGGGGAAAACAAATAAGTGAAGAAGATAGTATTCAAGCAACCAGAAACCTCTTGGAAAAACTACGCAAAACTAAGCGCAAGCCACAGGATGACTGTTGTTCCAAGGAGGCAGTCGATTTATTGCCACCAACTCCAGCCATTCCGTCGGTATTCCCTTTCCACAATGCTGCGGACCCTGAGGATATTATTCACGCCCAGAAAGAACAGCAGCAACAACAACAGCAACCACAAACTTGTATTTATGGCAACTCATCTGGACCAAACTCTGTGGCCTCATTGACCATTAAGGATTCGCCCATGACAGCAAACAGTGGAAGCTATGCAAACAGCCTTACCAGCACTCCAAATGCCACACCCACCAATGCAACAATGAGCAATCTGGGACCCGGCAGTGGCTTCCAAGTCAATTTTCCGAACTCTCAGCAAGCCCCTACGTTGAGTCTCTTCCTGGAAAAATCACCCCACCAAAAAGGAGCTTGTCCGCTACCCAGCAATGGTGGAGCCCCTCCTGGAGCAGCTGGACCCACTCCCGACTTTGTAGATTTGGCAGCAGCAGCGGTGAAGAACACTCTCGGTAGCTTTCGCGGAGCAGCTGCCGTTCCCACACAGTCCGGAGCGGCCGGCACCAACAAGATCAGCGACTACGATGAGAACACACGCATGCAGTCGCCTTTTGGGAGGATTCCGTGGAACGAAAATGATCTTATTGCGGAGAGAAGGAGTAGCTCGCCCAGCTCAGTGTCGGAATCCAATGACCCTCCTCCGCCACCTGCAGCAGCAGTGGCGGCAGCAGCATCGGCGGCCCGTACACTCGCCCAGCTTGAAAGCTGTAAAAACTACTTTAACAGCTATGCAAGTGGAAATGGAGGACCTAGCAGCGCTACAAATGCTACGACGCCCTTTAACCATGCTCCGATAAACGGTATCGATGCCCTACCAATATTCAACAATTCTACGGCGCCGCAGCATCAACGGACAACGCCAACTCATCAGCAGCAACAGCAGAGAACTCCAAACAGTCAGTACAATGGAGGTATCTATCCCCAGCTTGCGGCCATGATGCACCCACAGACAACGCCGACGGAAACGTCACCTAGCTTGTATGGCAATGGCACTGTTGGCGGTGTCGGTCCTGTACAGCCAGCGACACTACCTCCGCCGCCTCAGGGCAACCAATACTCCGGAACACCTTATTCCTCGGCCGGCCTGGGGATGCTTCCTGTGCAACAGGCTGCGCTTCCGCCCGTTCCCGTTCAGACCACGACAACGCCAAATCATCAATTTGCCTTGACATCGCCGGTGGATGGAAAGATGCCGACTTATCCGAGTCAGCTGCTAAGCAGCTGTGCTGAAGCAGGCGTGTCCTCCATGATGCCACCAACGCCCCCGGTTCCAGTCACAGCCAAGGAGTCGCCGAGCAAGAGGAGCAGCGTCAGTAGTGGCAGTTCATCCAAGAAGCAGTCGCACAAATCCCCTCAACTGACGCAAGGAAAATCGCCCGGAAAGTCGCCCCGTCAGCCTCCAACTCCTCCCGCACCAGTTCCCGTGGTGGCTTTGCCGCCAACCAAATACGACCTGCAAACGCACACGTTGCAGGGCAAGCCACGTCAGCGAGCTCCGCGAGGAAGCGGCGCGTCTGGAGCGCAGGGCAGGGGCAGAGGACGTGGAAGGGGTAGAGGACGGGGTGCTGGGACTGCTAGTGGAATGGCCATGGTCCTGCCGCCGCCAATGACAGATTATGGCAGCAACACCCATATTGTTAACAACTTGGTCGGAACGCCCTTTGAATTTAACAACGAGTTCGACGACATGGCAGGACCAGGTGTGGAGAATCTGCAGTCGCTTAGGGACCGCCGTAGAAGCTTTGAGCTGCGAACGCCACGAGGACAGAATAAGTCAACTACTACGCCAACTACCACAACAACCACCAATCCCTTGTTGCAGCCAGTACTACCCGGACCTGTGGACATGAGAACCTATAATCTTGGATTCGAGGCGCCCCACAGTACGGCCTCCCAAGAAGCCTACCAAAATAATCTGCTGGGGGCCTTCGACTCGGGAACCGCAGATCAAACTCTCAGCGAGTTTAACGAAGAGGACGAACGCCAGTTCCAGTCGGCTCTTAGAGCTACTGGCACTGGAACTTCTCCCAGCAAGCAGCCCTCAGCGCCTACGGCACCAGTGACAGTTCCAACTGCTCCCAATCCGCCACCTACAGCAAGCCTCCTTCTGCATTCCACTGAAGCGAACCAAATGGCACTCAGCGCGGTTGCTGCGGGCGCTGCAACTCACTTGGTGGAAGGCTCGCTGGTTGAGGCTTCTTTGGAGGCTACGTCTGAGGAGGTCTCAATCGACTCGGACAGTACAATACTACACACCAAGACGTCCATCTCCGATGCCCGAAGTCAGCTTAAACTTAAGATCAAGAGCCCACTGGTCTACCCGGAACACTTTAACGCCTTGACGAACAGCAACAGTCTGACTCTGTCCAGTACGCTGGTGCAGGCCTCCAATGCAGTTCAGACCACCGTGTCCACTTCGACGATAGTGAGTGCGTCATCCGCCGTAAGCGGCAATTCGCGCCGGATGAGAAAGAAGGAACTGCTCAGTCTCTATGTGGTGCAAAAGGATAACCACAACGACGACAGCTCGTGCGGCCTGCCCGCCGCTTCCGACAACTTGCCGCTGGATAACCTGCTGCGAAAGTCGGAAGAAGAAGATGAACTGTCGGGCAGCAATGGGTCAAAAAGGTTCAAGAAGAACTCCAGCAGTAGGGAACTCCGCGCACTTGACTCGAACTTGTCCCTGGTGGAGGAACAAATGCTCTCCGGCGCTTCTGGAACGGGTGCGGGAACATCATCCGGCGATGGCAGAAGACGTAGCGCTTGCAGCTCTGGCAGCAACAACGACAACAATGGCAAGACGGGAGCTGCCAGCAGTGCAGGTAAGCGGCGGGGAAGGAGTAAAACTCTTGAAAGCAGCGAAGATGACCACCAGGCCCCCAAACTGAAGATTAAAATCAGGGGATTGGCGGCGAACGAGACTCCCTCCGGCATTTTCAATGCGGGCGAGGGACAGAGCTACAGCTATGAGATGACCCGCAGGGCTTGTCCTCCCAAGAAACGTTTAACAAGCAACTACACTCTCACGCTGGAGGAGATCAAAAGGGACTCGATGAACTACCGCAAAAAGGTTATGCAGGACTTTGACAAGGGCGAGGACAACAATAAGCGGGAGGCCCTTGTCCAAGAAGGGGAGTCCCTTATAATGCCCCAGCCCCCCAGCAAGCGACCTAAGTCTTCCAAGCCCAAAAAGGATAAGAAGGAAAAGAAGCGCCAGAAACAGCAACAGCTTATCCTCAGCAGCAGTACAAACACCATGACGACTACGTTGATTGAGAACACGGCCAGTGCGTCGCCAGGAGATAAGCCCAAGCTGATCCTGCGTTTTGGCAAACGAAAAGCGGAGACCACCCCAAAGACAGCCTGCCCTGAACAGCCACAGACGGAGGCACCGGCACCCCTGCGCTTTAAAATAGCCAGAAACTCATCAGGCGGCAACTACATAATAGGTACCAAGGCGGACAAGAAGGATGAGCCAATGCCAGAGAACACTTCCCCGGTAACGGAACTCCCGCTCATTGCGCCCCAAGAAGAGGCTTCTCCACAGGGCCTGCTGCTCAACAACTTTACGCCGCACTCCCAAAATGCCAACGCATCGCCAGCCCTACTTGGCAAGGACACGGGCACCCCATCGCCGCCCTGCTTGGTGATAGACTCTAGCAAGAGCGCCGACGTGCACGACTCCACATCTCTGCCTGAGAGCGGCGTGGCTGCCATGGGCGTGCCGACGTCCCTTGTGGGCGCCACAACGCCTCTGTGCGTCAACGTTGGAAACTACGAAAACAGCAACAACTCACTGCCCTCGGCCAGTGGCACCGGATCGGCTTCCAGCAACTCCTGCAACAGCAACTCGAACAACAACAACAACAACGGAAGTGGAGGAGGACCTGCCAGCGGGGGAGGCAGTTTACTTCCATTGAAAAAAGACTGTGAGGTTAGATGATAATCGTAGAGCGCGAGAGTGCCGCTTTTACGCGTATCCTTTCCCGTCCCTTCGTTCATTTAAGCCTTCGATTCCCCCTTCCTTTGTGATTTGATTCCTTGCCCTTGCCCATTTCAGAGTGTTAGCCTTTGTTGTAAATTATTGAAAATCAGTCCCCAACCAAACCTTAAATTGTACAGTTAGTTCTTAACCCGATATCCTTCTTTTATCTGTCTGTAACTGGTTTGTTGGAATCGCATCAGCGTAAACAAGATATTATTCTATACCTATAATATATATTTGATTAATATGCATATAGCACATTATGCGAGAATCAGAAAATATAAATTGTAAATTTTTAGTGAAGCAGATTATATGATTAAGGTTTTGTAAATTACTGTATTAAAGTTATAGAAGATAAAAGAACGCAGACACAGTCGTCTAGCCTAAAAAAATCCAAAAATGCTCTCGGTTTAGGTTTATGAATGCCTCCCATTCACTTTCACCCAAATCCTTCCACGCCTCCTACTCACTAAAATGATCGATAAAACCAAGCATATATTCTAAACACTATTTATTAATAATTATTTAATAGAATGCGTAAAATAATCGTAAAATATTAGCAAAAACTGTTAAATGCGTGCAAAAAGTAACAATTTCAACAATTGTAGCGATAGTCATTAATTGTAGTTCTTAGCGAAAATCAAAGTCGGTTGTCCATGACCGCAATCTAAGTGCATATAAAGCTCCCTCTTCCCAAAACCTATACCTAGAGAGATGAACAAGAAATTAACAACATATTACCCTACAATTTTGGAAAGGGAAATGTTTGTATTTTAGCGTGTAAGAGTGAACGTATCTAAAAACTGCAGATAACGTAGGTTTTTTTTTCTTTTGCGTTTTATAAAGTGTTAAAGCAATAGTAACATAGGCAAACGTACACTGGTTTTCTATAAGCAAAGGTGCCTGCAGCCTCGAGCCAAGTCACTAACACAAACACGCCCCAGAAAAATCATCTAAAACAGTCTAAGCCCCCGGACCTCAAGCACCCCAATCCCGGAGCCACTTGCTCGGTGGGATTGCATTCCAGATTCCGATTGCGGAACGATATACGGAGCCGCGGTCCACTAAGATTTTCAGATGCTCTTTCGTCGCCAATAGTTCAAGAAATTATTTTTCCTTTAACTTATTCGCATCGGACGTATCTCCACTAAGGGGGGAATACAAAATTATCGAAAACACATTAAAGGAACACACGCAACAAATATTTATTCCAAAATAAAAACCCGCGAAAAGGCAAACTTAGAGAATAACTAAAATAAATGTGTAAAGAAACAAGCAAAACGTAAATTTAAAAGTTAACGATATTTCTGTAATTGTAAATAATTGTGCGCGAAAAATGTTTTTAATTAATACCATTACGTTAACTCTAATTATTAATTAATGATTATGATTATTAATTTTAATTCTAGTTTTTAGCAAAAATTTAATAAAAGCAAAAAAGCCTTATTTAAAACAACATTTTTAACACATTATTTACACAAAAACACGAATAAATAAAAAAAGCTATTTGCGCATTTCTAGTTTGCGCTTCGCTGCAAAATAACGGTTGCCTTCCACAGAGCTTGCTTCCTATTGGTCGAATAGTAAGGGGAACATGGAAGGGCATTTCGTTTTAAGAGCTTGTTTCCTATTGGTAGACCAGTGGGAGCGCTCCATTCAATAGCATTTTTAAAACTGAGCATCCACCTACCAAAATTTATGTTCGCCTGGTGTCACAAATCACGAAATTAGCTGTGAAACGGCAATTTTAAAAAATTTTGAGCCGAGTTGGGGCCCATTTTGTCCGTCAAAACGAGAGGTTTCTCGATTTGAGATACCAGGCGAACAGAAATCAAAGTAGGTGGCGTAAGCAAATTCAGAACCCAGCAGCCCCCAAATGCACGCAATACAAAATTATGATGCCATTAGCGCAATGATCGGCTGTCCAAAAGTATGCAACTTTTCATTTTGCTGCCAAAAAGTATGCAATTTTTAATTTTACAAATATTTTTTACTGAAATAAAATTTGTTCTTTGGCCCGTTTCAAAATCACAATTAATTTTTGAAGAAAATACATTTTTTTTTTTAAGTTTTACAACCACTGGTAGGGCGAAACGATTTATTTTTCAAATTTTGCAGTAAACAGTAACAAGACTGCGTAGAAGGGCTTCGTTCAATTTGTTTTTTGGAGAAGAATTCAGTGCTAGTGGGACACGCAGATAGAAATTGAAATAGAGCGAAGGACGCAGTGCGCAAGACTAAGCGACCACGACCACCTGGGAATGGAGCCACTTCAACACGGAGATGTAAACTTGTATTAACGGAATTGTGGCTGGGCTTTTGGAGACAGAAAACAAATGCAGTTGTCTTGGGTTGAAGCTCGTTGTCGTCGTAGCGGCTCCTTTGAAATGCAGGGCAAACACAGCTAGGCATGTGGAGTGGGGACTCCTGGGCCTCGCCTGTTCGTGGTCGTCTAGTCGCAATCTCGGCACCTACTGGTAACGCGCCAGCTTGGGCAGGGGCACAAAGGAGGTGGCTATAATTGGAGAGCTAATGGCTTGAGACCTGGAATGCAGTGCGCCGTGGTTATTATAAGTAATCCTCGAGTTTGAACAAACCGACACACTCACCGCCAAAAAAGGGAGCTGCCGCGCTTTAGCTCGCCTCGGATTTGCAAATCATTCCAGCAGTCCACCCAGTTCTTGTAGGCCGGCATAATCGGCGGCTGGCCTGCCATCAAGCGAGATCCACTCACCACCGAGCAAGTGGAGACCACCTGCAGCGGATACAGCAGGCTTGACACGGCGAACTGCGTGAAGCCGGCGTTGTACTGCCTACCCAGCTTGTCCTTGATGACGTATTTGTTGAGGATGTAAACGGTGGAGCTGGTCAGCACAAGGCAGGCCACATCGCACAGCAGCTTTGGCACCAGACCGGCAAAGAAGCCGGCAATGCCTTCAGTCTTCCAGATCTCGGCGACGGAACCCACGATGGAGGTGTACAGTGTCTCGCGGCCCACGAACTGCGCCATCATGCGCAGCGAGATCACGTGAAAGGGGTGCGAGGCCACGATTCCGCTCACCGTCAGCACGATGTCCCGCTTCAGACTCTCCTTGAATTGGACGTACCTGAAAGAAACCAGAGCAGGAGTCGCACGGCGGTCAAAGGCAGGTGGAATCAAAGACTTGCATCTCCTCCTCGCTCAGCTGCGAGTCGTCCTTGATCTCCTCCGGCTGCTCCAGGCCCAGTTTGTCGGCCACCCGTTCACTCACCACCATGGCGACCAGGGAGCCCACCAGCTTGGGGGCCAGTCCGCGGTAGCAGCCGTAGAAGCCGTCGATCCGCCGAATGTGGCCAGCTGCAGGAGCGAGAAACCTTATCAGTCCTGCTCGCCGAGCGGAACTTTGTACCCACCATACTGGAAGATGTTCGGCAGCTTCATGATCGGTTTGCCCAGCAGTGACTTTCCGGGCAGCGGGGCGATCGGCTCGTAGCCCAGCTGGATGAGCGTCTTGGAGTACTCGAACGGGTGCAGGGCGGCGCTGACGCCCAGCCGCATGCCGAAGCGAATCCAGCCGTTGACCTCCGTCTCCTCGCCGCGGGCGTATTCGGGAAAGCCGGCCATTCTAGTTACGTGGTGGGTGGGTGGTGCTGCTGATGCCGACGGGCGAACTCTGCCGCTTGGAATTTGGATGGACCGCTGTGGAAGATGATAGTATTAGACCGGCGGCCGCCTTGCACTCGGCTTCAGAGTTATTGGGCAATTTCAAAAGTACTTATTACAAAATTCTTTCTGACAGCAGTGTGGCCGCGTGCGTTGTTCTTCTTAAATGCCTAAAATCGATTTCGCAATCGATATTTTATAGTGCTGCAAAATAGGTTGAGAACTGCAGTTAAATTAAAGCAAAAATGCTCATTTTTTGCTTGAAAAGAACTATAACGTAATACTTTACGTAACGGCTAATTTCAATCCAATATAAACTGAATTGAAATCAAACTGCTAAAACTTTAGATCTTTCGCCACCCCGATCCGCCGTTTTGGTCCAGCTCTAGCCGTTGGGCGGCGGTGTGTGGCGTGCTGTCTAACATGCATAGGTATTTGTTGAACATTTCGTACATCGGCACAACATTTCGGTATTTATGGGTAAAATAAAGCGGCAGGCATTGTCTGAACTATACTCTATCTTTAGTGGTATTCAGAAGACAATTAACAAATTGGAGCAGTCTTACCTGGACACCAATTCTATTCAAGGGTGCATTGAGCTCGCTCTGCGGGCTTTCCATCCCACGAACGAGATCCAGACCGTGCTCTCCAGTCGGTAGGTGATGGAATAGAAGTCAACCTGGTCGATCTACAGTATTCACTCACTTTCAGAACAGACGCTGGTGTCCACGCGCTCCATTCGACCGTGCACGTGGACCTGGAGCGCCCTAATGGGCAGCCCTACGACACGACTACGCTGACCGTGGTGCTCAACCGGACCCTCGACAAACAGCGGCTTCCCATCCGAGTGCTGAGCAGCCGGATAGTTCCCGACTCCTTCCATTGCCGCTACCACGCCATCGGGCGCACCTACCTGTACCGCTTTGCCGTGGCAAAGGATCCGTCCTCGGGGGACGAGAATCTCCGAAACAAGGCATACAAGGCTTTTATACCCGTGGAGGAAATCGATCGCTGTTATTTTCTGCAGTAAGAAAACATCGTAGGCGGGTTGAATCAAGTAGTTGACCAGTTCATTATCCACAGATCCCCTAGCTTTGACATCGATCGAGTACGGGTTGCGGCACGAATGTTCATCGGCGTTCACGACTTCCGCACTTTCATGAGCGTCAGCCGCCAAAAAGGGCCTAGTCGGGATCACCCCATGTTCACAGTGCGCAAAATCGACGAGATTAATATACGCCTGGGAAAAACTCTGGCTCTGGCCGCGAACGCCACTCTGGCCACTGAAACCTACGACTATTGGGACTTTGAGATTAAGGCTAAGTCGTTTTTGTACAAGCAAGTGAGGCGCATTGTCGGCGCGCTGATTGCCTTGGGCAGCGGGCGTATTGACGAGAGGTGCATTTACCAAATGCTCACCATTCCCTCGAAGAACTCTTGGGATCATCGGGTGCTCCTGGCGCCAGCCTGCGGCCTCTACCTGTGCCGAGTGCACTACAGGGAAACGGGCAACTAGAGCTTCGACATGATACTGCTGTATGAGCTCCAAAAGCGGCTGGCCAACCTGAGACCCACCACCACAGTCGTGACCACTGCCACCGGGGCCCGCTACATTGAGCGCAGGAGATCCTCCGGTAGAGAGGAGTGCACAGCCTCGTCTCCGCAGCAGCTGGAGGCCCGCCAATACGGATTTGTCGTGGACACTAAGCCTGACGCTTTGCCCGCCTGTATATTGAGCGAGTTCCTTTACCTAGGCTCCCAGGATGCAGTGACTCCAGAAAACGTTCTGAAGTACAAGCTGACGCACATTCTAAGCGTCGGCATACAGACGCCGTTTGTGGAGTGGCCTGCGCCAGTAAAATGTAAGTACTTGCCTTGCCAGGACCTGCCGGAAACGGACCTGATGCACTTCGTCCTGCCCGTCTCCCTTGAGTTCATCGATGAGGCACGGCGGTCGCAGGGCTGCGTTCTTGTCCACTGCAACGCGGGAGTATCGAGATCCGCATCCGTGGTTATCGGCTATCTGATGCAGCGAAGGGACATGTGCTACGAGGATGCGTACAATCTGGTCAAGTCGTGGAGGCCATGCATACAGCCCAATGCGGGCTTCATGCAGCAGTTGAAAAGTTCTGGTAAAACATAAGTAGAGTTAAGCAATAAGCGGCGTAGTTTGGTGTCCAGCTTTTTTTGTAGCTTACATATTTGTTGAACAATACACACTTTTAACCACGAAACAAACGAGTGTTAAACTTAAACAATGAATCAAATTTCTATTTGGTTAGTTGAAAAAAATTTGGTACGGATGTTCTAAATACGTTAACGAGATACTTGAATGAAATGAACAGCTGGTCCTCCCATCTGTACTCTCACCTTGCTGAATTTAAACAAGGGTGCCGAGGTGCTGAATGGCAGTTTTCGAAACGATCGCGAATTCTGTTTTATGACCAAATTCTTCTCCACGGACGCTAGTTGAGGTAGGAGGATTTCCTAATCCACTCACTATGAACATTTGCTTCAAGTTTCTTTGCGTCAGTTCTCGTCGGGCCGGGCGGCAGTTGCGTTGGTCCCAGAAATTCCCAGGTACTGGCGGGCCAGAGTCAGATACATCACCTGGTTGTTGCGTGGAAGACTGGATCAGATCTCCTTCCGCAGGATTTTTCCTTTCCACGGCGGCAGCTACTGCTATATCGCTTCCAGAAACCGTTGCTTCGAATTCGTGACCCAAACACTCAAGCACTCCCAACTTGGCTTTTAGCTGCTCATTGGCCGTGAAAAGTTTCCGTTCCACTCTATGGATATCCTCCACCTGAGCCGCCAACTCAGTATCGAGTCTGTCAATTTGCAGCAGCACCTCGCTCTTTGTCTGGTACGCCCGCTTCACCTGGTGTCTGCGCACCTTAGCGTGGAGGCTGAGCAGGTACTCCTCCTCCCGCTCCAGTTGTTTGTTAACCGTGTGGATCTTCTCCAGCCAATACAGTCGGGACTTGTCCTTGATGGTTTCACTATCGTTTGACGTTCTACAGTCCTTATCTGCGAAGGAAGTCTGTTGTGAAAGCTCGCTACCACCATGTTACTCTAATTTGATCCATACCTGGCCTAATTTCGTCATTACCATCCTCGTTAATCCTCGCTATCACCTCTTTGAATTCTTCAGGGTCTGGGCAATTTTCTTGGGGTTCATCCAAGTCCTTCAGGTACGTCTCTAGCAAATAGTTTTTACCTAGCTCTCGTTCCCTCACTCGGTGCTTTTCCTCCTCGATTTTGAGAATTTGTCGATCTTTTTCGCTGTAAAAGATTGTCAATGACACTCAGGAATGCTCAGAAAAGAAGACCCACATAACTTACTGCAACATGGACATTTGCTGGAGTATGGTCTCGTCCTGGGCCAGGATAATGGTCAGCAGACTCTCGTTCGGAGTCATGTGGTAGTTCCTTTGCTGCAGTTTTCGACCCCTTTTTGGCTGCTTGGAATTGGTGTTGGTGTGGCTCGTGTTTTTGACGGAGGTCCTGCCCCTTCGCCTGAAGCGCATGCTCCGCGAACTGTCCACTGGACTGCCCATCCCGCTGTCCGCGTCCGTTGTCGGGGTGTGCTTGCGGGTTGAAGTGGCCAAATGGCGAAGCTGGAGCTGGCACTGTGCGAAAGAAGAGGTGATAAAAGAGGTGAAAAGTGTTTAGCTTGGGGCGAGCGGTTTGCTTACTTCCTCCTTCGGCAAAGCGTGACGGCTGGTGATAACATCAATGAGCCTGGCATTGCTGTCCAAATACTCCTCGTACTGGCGCTGCTTCCGCACAATGGCAAACTCCTGCTGCGTGTGGGCGGGGTGTTTGCTGGGCTCTTGCCTCAGACGACTTGCGAGTCCGTCTTCTTTGCGAAACACCTGTTGCTGGACTGTTTGATAGCTAATTAATGCACAGATTAGATCTGCGCAGGTGGTGCTGGCGTCCACGCCGGATATCCAGTGCTCCTCGCCGTCGATCCAAATCGACAGGTTATCCGACAGAGAGGAAAGCGAGTCTACGTCTTCGTCTCCAGGCGCTGCCAAGCCCTGGCGCTCGAAGCAACTAACCGCTGGCTCACTGGTCATTGTGTCTGCTGGCATTCTGTGGAAACAGCACATAAAAGGGGTTAGCTAACGCCGTCCACTTGAATACAGAGGTATGTAAATCCAGGTATGGTATAAGACGCGACGCATACAAAACATTCGGTGTTATTTATGCAGCTAAACCGTTGGTAAGCGGAGTAGACAATTCGCTAACAGTTCTTCTCCAGAATCTGGGCTTGTGCTGACCGCTCTCTTCGGCTCTGCCCGTTAACAACATGTTACAATCGGCAATTAGCCAATTATGCAAATCTGTGGCAACATGACATGTGTTTACGGCATCGATATGATCGCGGACAAACTAGAACAGACTCCTCGCCATGTAAACACTAAGGATGACTCATGGGGACTGAGTTACGAGGCCTGCTACAGATTCAACTTTCTCGCGTTACACCTGCCCGACTAAAGATAATGCCAACTATCTTGTCTTTTGCACCTTGTCTTACCAGCGCGCTCGGCCTCATCTCTACAACTGAGGCACTACGCGGCCAAGTCTGGCTTAAAACCAACTCCATTCGGTTAAGAGAGAGCAAACGGGAGCGAAAGAAGCCAAGAGAGGCGAAAACAGTGGCCAAAGCGCACGGCTTGTCAGGCAAGAGGCCAGCTCTCAACACCAACGATACCTTGGAGAAAAACCTTTTGTGTTTTCTCTTCGAGCTTTACGGTACCGTGGGTAAGTTTTTGGCAGGGACCGGCCACTCCCCTCCGCGGTTGATGCTACGTCGAGATACTCTTTGCCGCCAGGCCTTGCTTTCGCTACTATTATGAAAGACGGAGGGTGACTTACTATAATTACTCTAGAGCCGGGCCTTTAACGAAGCAATAAACGAAACCGAGATTTGGAGATCGGTCCGGTTGTGCACGGAGCAGCTACGAAACCAAACTGACTCTGACTCCAGCATTCTTAATTGGTGGCCACCCGAAACTCCGAGCCCAACTCGTCGATTATCATTTCGGACCAAGCAAGTATAGACGTCTCCACGCGGAGTAAACTAATTGTTAGATACTCTGCGGCCCAGACCGCAAACGGGAAATCTTTCGATCCTCGTTTCCATCTGTCTTCGCGGTGAACGCTTGGGTCATTATAAGTCAACAATTCTCAGCAATTAAGCCGTGAAAACATAGAAAAGGAAAACTCGAGCCATTACCACTAAGTGTCACTAATGTAGTTGGGAGAAATTCGAAAAGAAACGTGGTAAATCAAGCAGAGAAATTATTTGTGTGGTCTGATAATAAGCACAGTCTTTAGCGCGAATCGTTATGTTTACTCCAACTCTACCTAAATATCTGGTTAGTTTTTTCGTTAAAGATTGGCAATGTCTGGATTCACACTACCTCAACATCTTTTTTTATAGATCACGTCTACCGGTTCAAATGGTCGATTTAAGATACCGAGGTATTCAATCAGGGTATAGCCTGGACACTGGCTGCCAAGCCATTCACCGATTCGGTTTTCGCAGTCAGTGCGGTTTCTGTTTTCTTTTGATAGTTTGCTTGGCTTTTGGCCTTTCATTTTCATGAGTTACAGTTCTTCGGTTTGGATACCTAAAGACAACACTAAACCGGTATGAATTGCATGCATAATGCATAAATGTGTGCCACTTAATGCATTTATGTCTGCACACGTTTGGGGGTCTGTGAATACATACCTGTGGAGTACAGACTGGGTGCCTGGTTTACGGATCTATAAGTCAGGCATTTCTAGGTGTGACCGAGTCCCATACACCTTCTTGGATTTGGAGTGGCGACACTGCGAGCGTTTCCAAATTTCTGTATGGAACTGCTCGTGTAATTAATTAGCCAAATTAATGGGTGACGCGCCGAAATGGTGAGACAGTCCATGTGTGGCGATTTTGAAAAGGGAGAAATGTTTTAAGGGTTCCCCGTATCAGGTTGCCATTGTTTTGGTTTTGCTTTTTAGTTTTGGGTTAGCCCGGTCCGGTTGAGTCCCATGCAGCTGGAAAAAGTGGTCGCATTAAGTGTATCTTGTGAGGCCGCTTAAAAGGCGAACTTACCTATGCAGTACTAAAGCATAATAAAAACAAGAGCTGCGAAGCTACTGATTGGATATTACGACATCCAGCCTCGGCTCCAGCTGTATCTCTCTCCAGCGGGTCGCTCGCAAAAACGCGCTCAAAACAAGTTGTTCAGACGCCTTCTCTTCTCTACAGCAAACTGATGCATGACGATGACGACGATCAGTTGCTAAACAAACGTCAGCGAGCTCGGTTCAGATCGAGCCAAGTTTACTCTCGCTCACAGCTAAATCGCCAGATCGGGTCGTTTTGGATCGGTTGGGACTGGATTGGTGTTCAAATCTGGCCAAAAAACACCTTTGTCTGTGTACAGGTATTCGACAAGCGATTACTCTTTCAAGTGCGCCCACAATGATCTAGAGAAAACAATCAATCTGTAATTGAGAAACCCAAAAACATACGTGAATGTGGTCCAGGCAATGACGATGGACTGGTGGGAATCCGCTTTCCACGAGGAAATTACGTCAACTTCCTCTTCGTTTTCGGTTTCCCAATCCGCAATCCGCAACATTGTCAGCCAATGCACCGAACTGGCTCGCCGCTTATGGCAGTTGCAGCTTACGGGTTTGACCAAGATGTACATACTTGACTCTGCCCAGAGTTGGGGGCGTGACACGGCCAGATGCTCCACGCGCTGACCTTGGAGATGTTCGGGGCTTCGTACTGCATGGCCGTGCACGCAGCCATCTCTGGGGCCACGCCAAACTGGTTTTGCTTCCTTTGCCCGCCTAGATGCTACCCACATAAATAAGCTAACTGCCGCCGATTGTATGTGAGGGCAGTCCGAGGTATACGGCCGCGGACTTAGCCAAGTATGACGGATAGGTTGTCATTACCCGAACCAAACCAAACCGAGCTGACGCATGCGCGACGGTGCCAAATAATTGCAAACGTGAAAATGACAACTTTCGTTGGCTCTTTCCCAGGCACACGCAGCCGATGATAGCTGCAGCCAGACGGAGCCAAGATGCCGCGCAAGCTGCTTAAATTTCTGATCATCTTCGACAACACCTCCCTGCTGTACTTCCCGGGCCAGTTCCTCTCCGGGAGAGTTCTCATCGAGCTGCAGGACGAAACTCCGGCCCTAGGACTCCATTTCCATGTTGTCGGCGAGGGCGTGGTGCGCAACGGGCGGCGGCAGGAAAGGACGTATGACAAGGAGAACTACATCGACTTCCGCATGCGGCTCTTGGGGGACGTGGACCAGGGAGGTCCGGCCATTCTCTCGCCGGGAATACACAGCTTTCCTTTCAAGCTCGGCCTACCACTTGGCCTGCCCTCCACCTTCCTGGGCCGCTACGGCTGGATCCAGTTCTACTGCAAGGCGGCACTGCGCGAGAACAACGGCATCATCCACAAGAACCACCAGGTCTTCATCGTGATGAACCCCATCGACCTGAACCTCGAGAAGCCCATTTTGGCCGTAAGTAGTTGTTCAAACTGTCCTTGGTAAAAGTCTCACTCTTCGAATTCGCAGCAACCTTTCACCTGCGAAGTGGAGCACAAGCTGGGGGTCGCCTGCGTGGGCGGAGGTCAGATCAAATGCAGGGTGTCCCTGGACCGCGGTGGCTATGTGCCCGGCGAGAATATTCTGGTCACCGCCTTCATCTCCAACTACAGCAATGTGACCATCAAGCGGACCAAGGCGTCGCTCACCGAGGTAGGTTCCCAAGAGTGTTTGCCATTGATCCACCTTTAAGTTGATCTTGTTTCCTTTAGACCATTGAGTATTTGGCGCGCGGCAAGGTGGTGCAGACGGAGAAACGGGAGCTGGCCGTCCTGGTGCGCGGAAAAATCCGACCGGGGGGCAAGGATGAGTGGCACAACGAGCTCTATGTGCCGCCCCTGCCGCCGACCAACCTGCACGGCTGCCACCTGATTAAAATTTCATACGACGTGTTCTTCGTCATTGAGCCCAAGTCCATGGAGAAGGAAGTCAAGCTGCAGCTGCCCATTGTGCTGGCTACGTACCCTTTCCGTCACTCCGGGGATGCGGCGAGCGCCAACACCTGGCCGGAGTCGGTGCTCAAGCCGGACACCCACACCCACTATCCGTCCACGCTGCCCATATTCCGTCCCTGGCTGCACGAGAAGCCCAGCGAGGCATAGCCTCTGGGGTCAAAAGTGCAACATAGTTTTGTTAACAACGTTCTGCGCCATACACTAATTTAATATTATTTAACTTGTACGTACCGTTTCTAATATGTTTACCCTGCCAACTGGGCCATACTCGTTTCTGGTTGTTTCTTCAAGATTAAACAAAGTCCATTAATCGTTTTCGGCAGTTTCTTAATGATTAAACATGGTCCATAAGTAGCTGCTCCCTTTCGCATTATTTGGCAGTTTACTGAAAATAATTTAAACAAAAGTTAAATATATGAAATCAACTGATTGCAATATAGAAAAACCTGAATTCAGAATTCGTCTACAACGAAAGTAATAGACCACATATGGAATGTTAAGCTCGTTATAAATATAATTTTAGCTAATATATATCCGTTAACAACATTAATTCTTGAAAAATTTGAGCTAAAGCCGTTCCCTTTTTCATAAACAAATAATTACTATAATTTTTGTTAAATAAGGAAACCAAAAATCTTAAAAACTCAAAAATCGTTTTCAAAATTTAATATTTATATAGGCGGCATCAACCTAATAGTTATAACTAATTTGTATATAGCCGAAATTTGTCTAGCATTGAGAGGAATACCCTGCATATGTGGGCAGTGGGGTTTTTTCCCCAAGAAGGAAAGGGGCACACCGAACAGATAGCAAAATGAAAACAATTCCATTGTTTATCTGGATAATTCTGTGCCATGACGCATCCAGCGACTGTGGCTGCCAGAATCCTGACCGGAAGACGACATCCGATAAGCCAGCGCTGCCAGAGCAAGTGTGCCACCAGCGGGAGCATGGCGCCCACAGCCACTATCGGGATTATTATGGCGAACTGGAGACGGAACCAGAAGTCGTGGATATGTCGCTCATTCCCGGAGGCACCGTCTTTGTGGGCACCGACAATCCACACTTCCCGGCAGACCGCGAGGCTCCGGAGCGACAGGTGAAGCTGGAAGACTTCTTCCTGGACAAGTACGAAGTGTCTAACGACGCCTTCGCGGAATTTGTGCTGGCCACCAACTACACAACGGAAGCGGAACGCTTTGGCGACAGTTTCCTGTTCAAGACCCTGCTAAGTACCTCGGAGCAGAGGGACTTCGAGGACTTCCGTGTGGCGAGCGCCGTCTGGTGGTACAAGGTGCCCGGGGTGAGCTGGCGCCACCCCAATGGCGTGGACAGCAGCCTGGACAACCTGGGACGACACCCGGTGGTGCACGTCTCCTGGCGCGACGCCGTGGAATACTGTTCTTGGGCTGGCAAGCGTTTGCCCAGCGAGGCAGAGTGGGAGGTGGCGTGTCGCGGCGGCAAGGAGCGAAAACTGTTCCCCTGGGGCAACAAGCTGATGCCAAGGGACGAGCACTGGCTGAACATCTGGCAGGGCGACTTTCCCGACGGCAACCTGGCCGACGATGGCTTCGAGTACACGTGCCCCGTGGATGGCTTCCGGCAGAACGTCTACGACCTGCGCAACATGGTGGGCAACGTCTGGGAGTGGACGGCGGATTTGTGGGACGCGAACGACGTAAGCGAAAACCCGAATCGGGTAAAGAAGGGTGGCTCCTACTTGTGCCACAAGTCCTACTGCTACCGATACAGGTGCGCGGCTCGCTCCCAGAACACCGAGGATAGCTCTGCCGGCAACCTGGGCTTTCGGTGCGCCAAGAACGCATGAGTTATAATGTTGGATTATCATATATATATTTTGTACATGCAAAATATTTCTATTGTAACATTTTTAAAGCATATAAAAGAAAAATATAGTATATTAAGTCTATAAAAGAAAAATAGAAGAGGTCCGAAAGACTTATCAGCCCAAAACCGGAAAAGTTAAGATCCGAAAATATATACATATGGGTTATATCCGCCCCAAATTGGTTAAGATAGGTTATTAATAAGGCACTTGGTAATGTTGAATTCGTACAAGAAAAATGTTTCGGGTCTACATTTTTTTTTGTATATAAAAGAAATAAAGAATAACTAAAATTAAAAAAAAGAAACATCAGAAATTCTTATTAGGCAAAATTCGGACAATCTAAGAACCTTAGTCCGATTGTTGCCTAATATATATGGATTATAAGCGGGCCGCTTACTTGATAAATTCGGTTCATTATAAAGATAAAGTAATCGGTAATGTTTGATATCGGTAACTCCAAAAACTAAGCGGTCACACACATGGGCCGTCGGTACAAAAATTATAACACATTGGGCCAGGGTTTAACAATAATACCTTTTTTTGCGGAGCACTGGTATTTCCTTCCTTCAAACTAAAAAGTGCTGCTCAAACGCTCCCGGATCTTCTGCTTCCGCAGGCGGCGGGAACGCTGCCTCATTTTGGCGAGGTGCGACTCGTTTGGTCTTGGGGGCGGTTCCGGCATAAAAGGCAGGGGAATTGACTGACGCCGCCTAAAAAGAAATCGGTCATCATATATATATTGAATTTCTTGCTTTCAACGTACGATGCGGAGCAGGTTACGCACTGTCCGGTAGTCGGATTGCTGTGGTTCTCCCACTGCGAGTCCCTGACTAGATAGTCGCACCATCCCTTCGTGTGGGTGTATATGAAGAACTTGGGCTTCTTTAACGAAGGGTCTTGGCCGCATTTTTGGGCGTGCTTGATCCAGCCGGTACGTGTGGTGCGCAGTTTGCGGCAACGCGGGCAGTACGGCCACAAGCGGATGTCCTGAACGGTCACCCACCGCGCATCACGATTCCTCAAAGGCTTTCTATCGACATGCTCCTCTTCGAATTCCACATCCCTTTGCGTAAGATCCTCCACATCGATCACATCCTCGGGTTCATCATCTTGATGAGGCTGCTCCACAAGAGTCCTGGGACTCATTATCACCAAGTCGTGCCCATCGGACTCCTGGAGATCAGGCGGCGGGGTGTGGGTCGCCTCTGCACCAGTGGGCGGAAACGGTGGCCACTGCTCCGAGAAGATAAAGGTGTGGCGTTTTCCTACGACGCAATTTTCGTGCTTCATGTGTAATTCAATGTTTCCGGGGGCTCCGCACTGAATGCACTTCATCGGCGGCGGCTTGTTGCAGCAAAAGCAATGGAACTCATATGCAGCTCCTCCGAGGCAGTAGGGAAGGCTGTTTGGAGAAGCCCCGCACTTGCAGCACGCAGTATTCATGGCAAACTCAAATATTTATACCCGTTCACTCGTAGAATCAATGAATGCGGTCTGATTCACGCTTTGTTGTGAGGACGAGTTGGATTAATACCGATAGCTATCGATACAAAATAATTGGCGCCGATATTTGATGTCTGTGATAACGTCCGCACGGCAGCTAAAGCTCAGTTGTTGTTAAACTGTTTTACAACTCGTGCTTCAGTTGTCCGTAAACTGTTTTACAACTCGCGCTTTTAACACATATAATTTATCATAAACAAAAATAAAACAATTTTGTTTCTTTATAATGAAATAACTGAAATTAAATATTTAAGCTTTGTAATTTTTGTAAAAACAAAAAGTTGTATCCATTACTACGTGTAGAAGGAATCTCAATCATTTAAATTATTAATTATTAAAAATAATTCATAAAAAACATAAGTCCGTCTTGTATTTAACAGGTTTGGATAGACGCTAGACTGAAATGAAAAGCGTTACCCACTTTTCGACAGGAGCTCCTTTGCGGCGCCTTTATCTAGCGAGTTGGGGCTCGTTTTTCCTGGGAGGTGGAATTTACATGAAGTGTAGGGAAGCCGACTGAAAAAAAGGTGTGCAATCAGCGTAAAGTGAGCGTTAATCGTTGGTCAAACTCTAAGTACTATGCGGATTGCTGTATCACACAAAGCCTTCGTGTGGACATAGATGATGAATTTGGGCTTTAAATATTTGGAGTCCTGGGACTGAAGATCACCACTGGCTGGATACGGAGGCCACGGCTGAGAGAAAACGAAGGCGTGCGGTGCACCTTTGAGGCATTTTCGGTGCTTCTTTTTAAGATCAGTTAGATTGTAGAGGTCGCCCCAACAAAAGGAATGGTACTCGTTGGCAGAAGCACCAACGCAATAAGGAACACTATTTGGAGCCGCTCTGCACGGGCAGCACACAAAATCGATTGCAATCAATCTCAAACAAGCCGCGAACAAGAATGTACTAGTACACTGAGAGCAAGGACTTGTTTGAGGGAGGAGAGCTTAGTGTGCTATCGATAACTATCGATGTACGTCAGATAATTGAAGCGTCGGCGGCATTTTTAAAAGTGCCACGACCAGTAGCTTAAGCTTAAAACACATAGATCTATAATTAATATGTAAACGAAGAATATATTAGGTTTATTGTAATTTTATTCCACGTTGCGCTCGGGCTGGTCTCGTGGTGCCTATAATGTTCATATTGGTACATACTTTTACTTAGTAGTTTATAATTTATGTGTGTATTTTCGTATATTGCTGACTATTGTTGCCGGGTCGCAATGCTAAATGTTGAGTGTAAATCTTTCAGATTCTGACTATGCAAGTACTATATATGCGTGCCTAACTCTACGCAGACGGTTATGTGGTAATACTAATCCTATGGTATACAAAACTACGCTCAAATGCTTTACTGATACAACATTGCATGTTCGCATGGCGGGGAGTGTGGGAATATGCTAATTTACAATAGTCTGGGGCTAGAATGAGCATGCTATTTACAGAATCGAACTTAGGCTACGCGACAGACTCTGACAGAATGGCATGGGTCTGGCGGGGATCGGGCGATCTTGGCTGCGGTGCTGTGCATTTTCAGATGTTTTGCTCAAAAATATCACAATGCAAAATATAAGCGCTGCTAGCTGGGGATATGCCAATTTCAGATATTCAGTATGTCGTACATCTGCCAAAGCGTGGACGAAGCTGGAAGACTTGGCTGCACGCCTCTCAGCTAATACTGGGCCTGGGTTAGATCGAGTGGGGCTAGTGCCTTTCCGGATCGGTAAGGAAATCTCTTCAGGCGCCCACTCCGGCCGCCGCCGACAGGTGGACCGCCTGCAGCATGACCGCCTTGAGTTCCCGGGCCAGGCTGCTGATGTGGACCACCGAGTTGACCATCTCCTGGACCGCACTGCCGCTGGGGAAGTGCGCCGCCGCCTTCTTCGACTTGGAGACGCATGTCTTTAGGGCGTCCGAGAGACCATTGGTGCAGCGCAGTATCTTCTCGCGCAGCGCCTCCTTCGAGATATTGCGGTGGACGTTGTCGCCGATGGTCACCAGGTTGTGAGCGCTCACCACTACGAACTTGCCGTAGGCGATGAAGAACTTGGGCGGCTGGTTCTTCTCCACCGTCTCCAGGAAGGAATCGATGGCCTGCATTAGGTTGCCCATGTGCGTGGAGATCTGCTGGGCGTAGTAGCGCACCAGCTTCTTGTCCTTGTCGGTCATGTCTGGAGACTTGCAGGGCGTAGTGAGAACCGTGGGAGCCGTGGGCGTAGTGGGAACCGATCCGGAACCGCCACCCATTGCCGTGCTCTCGGCTGTGCGGATAACAGTGTCAAACTGCGACTTCAGGCCGACGGGAATGGCGTCACGGAGCGCCTGGTTCTTTCTGGCGGCCGCGTCCTTTGACTCGAAGGCCACGTAGTCGTAGTCCTCTAGCCACTCTGCGCTGCCGCGACTGCCCTCGACAGGTCCGGTCACAGGTGCTCCATTGTGGTCCGCCACCAGCTGGCGCTTAAAGAGCAGCGAGGCGTTGCCCTGGATGAAACTGGTGGTGGAGCGCACGTCCTCGGTGAGGGTCTGGGCACAGGCCATCAGTTGGTCCAATGCGTCCGGCGGGCGGCAGCCGTGCTTGTCGTCCCTCCGGGCCAGTTGTTCCACAGACCAGCCGCCCTGGGCGTCGAGGGATTCGGAGGAGTCGTGAATCAGCTTGTTGGCGTCCCGCAGAGCCCGCACTAAGGGGCGCAGCTTGAGGGCCAGGTTGCGGTCCTCGGATCGCGTGGCGTTGCCCAGGGTTCCCTCCCCGAACTCGGCCAGGTCGTGGAGGGCGGTCCGCAGGCGTAGGGCTGCCAGCTTTAGCTCCATGATGGCTGGCTCCAATTGGGCGCGGGTACGCCAGTTCGGCACCACAAAGCTCAGTAGCCGGCTGATGGCGGTAGTCGTCTGCAGCTGCAGCTTGGCCAGCGTTTCCAACGCTGAGCTCAGCTCCAATGGCAGTTCTTTGGGAGCGGGGACTATTGCGGGAGTGGGGTCCATGCGCTGCTCCTGCTCCTGCAGAGGTGGCAGCGGGAAGTCGTACGCCAGCCCGCTCTGCTGGCGGCGCACAGGCAGCGGGTTGCGGCGTGGGATGTCGTAGTCCGGCATGTTGGCCAGCGAGGAGCGGTTAGAGCTGGAGAAGCTCAGCGACAGGCTGTCACTGGTCAGCAGCGAGGAGGCGGAGCTGCTTGGCGTCATCTGGGTCATCTGCTGCTGGAGCATGCTGCCGCCGGAGATCAGGGGTCGTGGCACATCGTAAGATTCCTCCTCGATGGAGGCTGCAACGCTCTTGAGTGACTCGAAGCGAGCGCCCAGGCTGGAACTTGAAGTGGGTGTTCTCTGTGGACCGCTCCTGTCGTAGTTCAGCGGCACGGGTGTTGCGGGTTTGGGGATATCGTAGGTCTCGAACTCACTGCCGTTTCCGTTCTGGTGTAGACCGGACATCATGGCTAGGTTCTGGTAGATGCTTTGGTTGCTGTAGATCTGCTGTTGTGGCGTGCTTCCAGTTGCTCCCGTCCCAAGTCCAGTCGCTGATCCTGGCGAGCAGTTATAGATGTAGACATCACCGTGTCTCTGCGGCGTGATTACCTGCGGGAGAAGCGGAGAGTTAAAATTGAACATCACGAAGTTTGGGCGGTTTAGTAACCCCACCCCCAATGCCTGCACCCAACTGGTTTATCGATTTTCCTGCCCTCCAAGTCTGGCACCTTTATTGTAAAAAAAACCTATGGAACTCTAGCTCAAGGAATCAACCTGGGCGTGGCTCCGACTGTCGCTCACCTGCTCTGGGCTAATCCTTCTTATCACATCTTGCAAAAATGCATTGGTTTCGAAAATGGGGTGTAAAATGGAATATTCCGGCTTGGAAAACTTCGTCGTCGAAAGGCAAAAACTAGACTGCGAATGCAGCCCAACGAGAGCTGAGAAAGGTTGGGGAAAAGTAGGGAAAATCGTTGGCAAGTTTTATCACGTCTGCGCAATTGTCGCCTGGGAAATACGGGGAAAGTTCAAGGCGGTTCAGTGTCAAGGTAAAGGACCGTAAGTCTCTGAATGGCCAAAAACAAAAACATGAAATAATCTCTACTCAAAATTAGTTTTAGTTGTTTTTGCACCATATCGATTTGTTATAATAAAACGGATAATAAACATTACTCGTAAATAAAACTGTACTGAAACAGTTAGGGGTAAGGATACGAGTTGACTGCCGTTTTTTGCTACCCCCGTGAGCAATATTTTATATAATGCGATTCCAGGCCATATGTTGGCTAGACCGATAAAATATTACTTCGACGGCATATGCCAAATTTCTCAATTTTTCGTGTGCCACGCACCGCAGAAGAGCCACGCCCCTCCAAATGAATCGATTCCTAATTAGGTAAACCGTTACGCCAGAACCGTTTGATGGCGAAGAACCTCTACCTGAAGTGAACTCTAGCGGTTGCAGGACTTCACCCCAAATATCCTATGTCCCTTTACCCGGTTCGGTTTGCCTTTGCTTTAGCCCCTGAAGTGCCAATTGACGCGTAACACGAGTCAACAAAATGCTCCGTAGCATGGCGAAATAAAGGCAAGCAGCTGCAACTGCAGATGTGGATGATGACGATGAGGACCAGAGATCGACAAGGAGAGTTTCTGGACCCGCCATTATGTAATCAGGCAATCGCGGTGGCTGAGACGAGTCGGCAAGTCACATTTGAAGTGCCCTTAGAAATCTCGAGAGCAACTAGACCACCTGAAAGTAAGCCAGATCCTAGAACTGCAATCGGTTGTGCAATCCTTAAATGGAATAAGGCACAGCAGGGGTTATCCATTGTCTTTATGGGCTTGGTTTCCGGCAACCCACATGCTGGGACTCTTTTTCCTGGCCATTTCGCGTGACTTTTCCCGCTGCAGACTTACATTTTGTTTTGTTTGACTGACCTAAATGAACAGCTTTTCCAAGGCATATATCAGTGATTGGAATTTTTATGGCATATTTGGAGCACTTCATGGGTTGGGATAGTCAACAGAGACACACCATTAAAGTTAGGCCGCCAGACAGTCTGCTTTCCTTCTCTCGTTCAGTTTGCTTAACAATAATTGCCTTTTGATGGCTTACAGTTTGAATTGTAAAAGTATTACACGACAAAGAGCCATGTTTTGTGTTCTCCTTTAAATTCCAAACCCGAAAACAGTAGCAAACCCAAGATAATCATCTTCAGAGTTTCGCAGCGCGTTTCTTGCATTTCAATGTCCCTTCAACACATTCTGAACTGATGATCGCACACCTGCACCCGTCGAATCCGATGAGGGTAAATGAAAGAAAGAACCATGTTTGACCCACGTAGTTCTTGGATTCTTGAGCTGATCAAAATTTCAGCATATTCTCACGTACGAATCGAAAAAAAAAATCAACATTTGTATAAAAATTGTTAATTTGAAGGGATCTGCAAGGGAAAACTCCAGTCCCAACTTAGGGGAGCAAAGAAATGTGGCTAAGTCATATGATGACCTTGTGTGGAACCCAACCGGTGGATATGTTTTCACCGCTTTCGCAGCGAATCCGACATGCCGACCCAAAAGGAGGAATCCTACAGACTTTCCGACTTTGGTCACGCACAAATCTCCGCAGAATCCGAAATAAAAAAAGAGTTATTGTGCCTGGTTGCATTTATACCCATTTTTGGGCAATAAAATAAAAATGACATGTTTTGCTCAAACACAAAGTCTCTTTCTCGCTCGTTTTGGATCTGGCCATAAATCTTCATTGGCCATTGGCCGGGCCAGTTGCATTTGGCCACCTGACTTGGCTTGGTTTGGCTTTATGGTCGGTGCATGACGGAGCGGAGGTGGAAGGAGTGGACGAAGCGATGGAGCTGTCTGTATGTGGGCTCAAGGAACTCGAAATTGTCACACAATCTTAAGGCGGCTGCCGTCTAACGGTGGAGGCGAGTTTTCCTCGCCAGACGTAAACTATACCTATGTGGGATGCTCGAGGTAAGTGTATCTGGCCACCACTGCCCAACGATGGCGCAACTATAGCCGCGAGACATTTCCGTTCTCAATTAACTCAAGGAATGTCGCTGGGCCCAACCGCTGCGGTTGAGGTAATGGTTTGGTAATACCCATAAGTTAATCATTACATCGATTTTGGAATATATCTGGATTCCTGCCTAACCCCAACATGATAAACACCATTCCCATGCAGCCCACCGAATTGGGTCAACGGTGCTCCACTCCAAGTAGGGAGTCCCTTCACGCGGTGCAACCGGATGATGGGTCAAGTGCATGTTCGAATTCATGCCCCATATGGCTTTTGACGTCTTCGAGTGACAGCCTCGCGGGGTAAGATATTTCCGAGTCAATAAAATCGAACTCGAAAAAAGACAGCATTTAGTGCTGAGCTTTTATGGCCAAAGGTTTCTCCAACTCTTCCCAGCTCTCCCAACGCAATTTGCAGTGGGGCGGTCAAATTGCTGGCTCTCCTCCAGTCCGAATTTGAATTTATGGTTTCACTTGCCTCCAGTTAAGATTGATAGCTTCCGATAATGCGAGGAAATGTTTACGACTCTGTAATTTGGGTTTCATTTTATTTGATTTGCCTGCGAGTCAGTCAGTCAGTCAGCGAGTCGGCTGGGAAAGCGAAAGTCGCTGCACACCGAGCTCCATCCACCATCATCATGACCAGGCCCCCAGTCGCATCCATGGATGTGGGCGTCTGTCTGGTTTGCCAAAGGTCAGCAACTGTCGAGATGCTAATAATCACGTCGGTCAATTAATTTGAACTGTTTGAGGACCCAATTTCAGTCCGAAAATCTTAGTTTGATAAACAATTACTTCCTCTTTGAATCTTGGACCATCTACAATATTTTTTTGTTGATCTTGCAGCGCGCTCTTCCGATGCCAAATTGTTCGTTTCCTTCAATTTACAAATCAAATCGAATCAAAGTGAAAGAAATGCAAATAAAACGCATGTCCAGCTGACAAATTGGCAAATTACGAGCCATACGCAAAGGGGAAACCAGTTGGACAGCTGCAGACCCCAAGAGGCTATCCCCGTGAACCGAGGATCGGCTCTCGCAACTCTTATTAATTGCACAATTACGACACGCAGTTGACGTGGAAACGCAGGGGAGCGCTCGCACTCGCAATTCGCAATCGCATGGATGAGCGATGGACCCCTCAGAGCGCAATGATGGAGCGACGGAACGATCCGCAGGAGCCGAGAAATTACTTTCTTTCACTTTCCCGACAAATATTATAATTCAGTAGCCGCAAGAGGATGTAAAATTGGCCAAGAAACGAAATCAATTAAGAGGCACTTCCTCCCTAATCCCTGCTCCCCGTTGCAAATGCAGACGGAGCGGAAAATTGAGAAATTGACAAGTCACCCGGGACGAGGACGAGGAGCTTACCTTGTTCGGCGAGACGTGCCAAGATCTTCTCGTGCCGCGGGACGCCGACGATGACTCCGTTCCCGGGCCACTGATCACGCCGCCCGAGTTCGAGTTCGAGGACGAGGCCGCGCTGATGATGGATCCGTTCTCGTAGATCTCCGCCGAGCAGATGGAGCTGTTTAGCGTGGCGGTACTGGCCGCCAGCGACGGGATTGGGGAGCTGGCCGGCGACGGCGAGAAGCATCCCGAGTCGTACGAGTTCAAGACGCGCAACCGGTTGCCCGGGCAAAGACCCTGAAACATATATAGAGTTGCAAGAGATTTAGTTGGTAAGTCAATTTTAAAGGCATAATTAATCAGTGGCCTAGCAGCAAACAGTATATTTGGAGACAGACGTATGTAAACGTAAAACAAACGCTGGTTCTATTTCTAAAAAAAAATAAAGCAAACGAGTAAAACGGTTTCTTGCTAAATAACAGCTTAAATTTATACTATGAATGAATGGCTCATTGATCTTAATTGATTTTGATTGGCTTTTAATCAACTCAGAGTTATATGAATTATTAATGAAAACACATATATATTAATAAAAAACACATATCTCACAAAAGTGCAAAAAAAATGATGTTGTCTTACTTTAAATTGCAAGATACATTTCTTAAAGTTTTCGCTCGATTGACATGCTCATTGCAAGTTTTGACAGAGCTTCGTGAGATTTTCCAAAAATATATACCACTTCAAAGTGTACAAAAAATCTTGTCAACATGTGTTTCAGCTAAAAATGTATGCCGAAAGTTAATTTTGTTTTTTGCCTTTTGCCACCGTTATTTATGTTGTTGTTAATATTTATGCCACACGTTGTTGCTCTTGTCGGCACTCAATTGCCCGTTTTTGGGTTAATTGTGTTTCCATTAAAAAGCTGCGGCTACTTTTTAATTAGCGACAATTGCCCGACATAGACCGTCCGTACCGCCATGTCGTTTAGGTATCCATATCGCCTGGCACTTTTGATTTCCACTTTGATATATGTTTTGACACCATCATCATCTGCGGCCGCCCCACCAATGAGGTTTTTTTTATTTTTGTGGCGTCAATTGAGTTGTTAATTAAAAATTGCTGTCGAACGACGTGCGGAAATTTAAAAATTTTGCTCAAGTTTGAAAAGTTGTTTGGTCTCAGGCTTGGCTTTCTTGGGGGAGTTCGGGTGCAGAGTGTGGGGTTAATCACTCCCCCGAGGGGAGAGTTCAAGGCTGCCCGGGGCGAGGTATCACGCCAAGATAAATAGCGAACTCGAAATTGAGGCCAAAGTCTTGTATAGGTGCGATTGATAAATGAGATTTAGATTAGAAAGTTTTTGAGCACAAAGATTACAGAAATTTTCAAAATGAGTCATATTATATTATTGATAGAGTTTCCCAAGATCTAACCATTTCTCTGGTTTATTTCATAACAAGAAAGGAAAGCTAACTTGGGGCGGAGCCGAAGTTGATATACCCTTGCAGAATACTCTGTAAATTATATTCTCCAAAATTATTCATATGATGCATTTTTAATACTCATAAAAAATCCCAACTTCCTAACTTTAAAAACACCAAAGTTATGGCATTTCCAATCGTTCAGTTATATGGCAGCTATAGGATATAGTCGGCAGCTATAGGTAGGTCGGATTGATTGGCCAAAAATAAAAACCATAGAAAATTCCGACTTCCTAACTTTACAAACACCAAAGTTATGGCATTTCCGATCAATCAGTTATATGGCAGCTATAGGATATAGTCGGCCGATTCCGGCCGTTCCGACTTATATACTGCGTGCAAAGGAAAGTAGGGTGTGTGCAAAGTTTCAATTCGATAGTTTTAAAACTGAGAGACTAGTTTGCGTAGAAACAGACAGACGGACAGACAGACGGACAGACGGACAGACGGACATGGCTATATCAACTCAGGAGGTGATCCTGATCAAGAATATATATACTTTATAGGGTCGGAGATGTCTCCTTCACTGCGTAGCACACTTTTGACCAAAATTATAATACCCTCTGCAAGGGTATAAAAAGCTTCTCGCGGTAAATTAAATCCACATATTTTTTTAATTGTTTCCATTGTCCAATCATTTTCCAGGTACTAAAGACCTCATCATTATGTAAATACTGCTCACACGATCGACTACTCGCAATACAGTGAATAAGCTGAGATGATAAAGGGGTAAAGGGGTATCCCGGCTGGTTCAGAGTATCACTTCGTCTCCACGTGTTTCACCATCGATGCCGGAGCAAAACCCTTCGACCTCTTTGCCCATGCTCAACTCAACCCCCGACCAAAGGCCAGATAATGTTGTATGCACTTTGGTAATCGTCTGGTAATGCCCACGCCCCTCCCAGGCAAGGCATTAAGGCTATCATCTTGATGATGATTGTTATTACGGCTGCAGCCACAATTAAAGTGCCAAAAAATATGTAATGTATACGTCCAGACTCTTTGGAGGGAAATTCCCGCATCCAGCGCCATTAATTGGTCCACGTGCCGGCGATGATGACGGAGAAGCAAAACAAGCAATTACGGAAAATTAAATTAAAAATTTAAATTAGTTTTTCTGGCCTAGGAGAAACGATGAAATGGAAAAACTTATGCAAATGTTTCGATTGCTTAATTACGAATGCAGACAGAGCCCAGATGCAATCAGAGGGATAAATTAAGAACCAAAACAAGAAATTCAGACAAAGCAATGAGAAACAAAAAGCCAACAATATGGAAGGTTTGATGGGTCCGTTTACACAGAGAAAATATGATTTTATGGGGAAAACAGGATTCCTATAGATTCTTTAACCAGTGCAAGCTATGATATAAAGTTCGACGCTATATGAGTTATAAAAGAGTATTAATCATTATAATGTGATAACCATACTACTGAATACATTTTATACTTTATCCAACTAAGCCGCTCAGTGTAGGAATGTGTCTTAACTTGGGTTATTTTTTCCTTTTTGTCGATCCTTCATCACGAGACCCCAACTCACCTGTCGGTTGCGCAGGGTGCAGAGCCACCATCCCTGGATGCCCTCCGTATCCTGTTCGATGACGGTGAGGATGTCGCCCTTCTTGAAGGCTAGCTCGTCGGGAGTGTCTGCATAATTATCGTAAATGGCCTTGGCATAAAGTTTCTGCAAATAAATCAGAGTAAAACAAAATAATTAAAAAGTGGTATTCAGGCGGGCAGAATTTGTATGTTTTATGTGTGTTATGTGTTTGCGTGTTATCAAAAAAAGCGGTTTTATGTTTTTGCCTTCATTTTATTTCTGCCCTTTTTAGGCTTCTAAGAAGCCGCAAGGCAAACCATTTTAATGGAATTTCAAAGATGGTTTGGCGCTTGACCAGCCACTGACCCGTTTCGCAAACAAAACTTTGACTCTGGCTTCCATCATTCATAAGAACTGCGTCTGCTGATCTCTGTTTTCAGCCCGATCTTTATGTTTCTTATGGTAACAAATTTGCAAATCTTTTGCAGCTACCACATTTAAAAAGAATGCCAAAAAGTGCAGAGAACTAAAAAAAAAATAAAGAAACAATTCGGTTGGGTTTTTGTTTTAGCTTATGCCGCGCTCGCTTCATTAGTTTAGCTAAAATTTCAAGTCAACATGGGTAGGTTCTCTTTTATCCGATTTCAGGTTGCTTTTTTGTTAGGAAGCAGGCAGATCAACAGTCGCGGTTAGTTTTATAGAGCCAAGGCTACTCGAAACCAGACACTCGTCATCCTTGATCTACTTAAGAAAAATAGGAACTTCCCATCGCTTACATCCGGTCAGCTCACTTTCCTTCCCCTAAGCTTTTTGAATCTCTTGGTTCTTCATTTTAAGATAGCACTTCTTTCATTTGGCCTTTGTTTCTAATTCGCGAAACACGACCGTAGCCTTTTGGGTAAACTTTTCGCTCAATGAATGTTTCTTGCGGGTTGCTTTTAATTTCGCACCGCAGCGTATACAAATCCAAAACGTACGATTTAAACTCTGCAAAAAAGCAACGAAAACAAAGCAGCCGTTACTGCTCCTTCCCCCTCACCATTTTAACCCACAACACTACCCCAATCCATGCACATAAGAAAATATTCATATTTAAAAAAAAATGTTGGGTTTATCATTTTAAATAAAGAAAGAATTCCAACTTCGGCAACCCGAAATGGCTTAAGACTCTGGGACTAGCTTTCGTAGAAACGCAGACGGACGAATGGGCGGACGCACGGAAAGACGGACACGCCTAGATCGACTCGCCTGGTGATGAGAATCAAGAATATATATACTTTATATGGTCGGGAATTGGCGTTGCCAACTTTTGAATGAAATTGATGTCTACATATGTAGACAAAAGTTTACTGTAAGTGCGACCACTCAAACTGGCAACAAAACCTGGAAATTCTTTTATACTTGAAAAGCCAAAACAATCAGAATTGTTTCTGGTGTAGAAGGAGTGAAAGAGGGCGAGGGAGCCAGCGATTACAATATCGAGCGTTCAATCGCTGCTGAACTTTCAACCCGTTGCTGAGGTCTGATATGTCTGTATGTATGTACGGGCACTACTCATGTACACGTTGTTAGGTAGTTTCAAAACCCGTTTTACCAGGCGACGGCGGCTATTCTACTTTTCAATTTCGAAAGCGCAATGTAAACGTTCAAATGTCAAAAGGAAATGAGCGCACTTGAAGTTCAGTGCCGTCGGAATGACACTGGACCGCGATATGTTGCCCAAACAAAACAGAAACCAGCTCCAATGTTTGTTGGGTTGGGGCCTGGCAGCTCCACAGATCCATAGCTCCATACTGGGTTCCAGGGTTAGTCGCTGCTTTCTTCACTGCCATCTCGCCATCTCACTCGGCTTTTGACGCAGCGCTAATTGAAGAGGTAAATATTTAAAGTTGAGAATTGGAAGATTGAAGTTCCGCCTGCTGACAAATAAAAACCAATTCCTGTTGTGTGGCTTGTGGGCCACAAAAAATTAGGGGCCATTTTTACAGTTGTTTGTCTGTTTGCTCAGGCGACTTTAATTGGTTTGTTTAGGGCATTCTTCTGACCGATACCCGACAACGGAACTGAAAGAGTTACCACCTCCTAGACGTCCCCACATCCCCAGTCAATCTCTGTCGTAAATTCCCGAAAAAGGTTTACATGTTCGAGTGATTTTAATAAAAGTAATTAAAGCCCCTGGGCAACATTTCTGCCTTAGTTTCAGACCGCAGAAGTGAAAGAGTTGCCCGGCCATTTATTGTTTTTAATGTTCGCGTATGACGGACCATAGCCACAAGCCATATCTCGGGCTTAATTCCCTGCTTCAGAGAGTAAGCAACATTTTTGGCAAAACAAACTTAAGTTCGGTTATTTATGTATTCCAGGAGTAGATCCAATCCATGCCCGAGACCATTCAATTACTCAAACGCAAAGTCTCGCTTCGCCAACAGATTTTGCACATTTCGTTGTGGCTCATAAATAAACCAGGCGGCTGGGATTTAAAAAGCGAAGAAGCCGCCAGCAAACCGATTAATGAGCACTTAAAAATCCACAAAACTTCGCCCCCTTTACAAACAAGATGACAATTTGTTTTTATCCCATGTTCTGAAGAGACCATTAACCGCATTAGAGACATGTGACTCTGGAGTACTATTCAATATATGAACATACGTATGTATAAAGACGAAATAAGTTGCCAATCAATGGCGATGGCTTGGCAATATATTCAATAGAAATGCGAGCTCGTTTTCGGCGTTCAACTGATAACCCAGCCCCCAAAAGCTGATAAAGTGGCAATAGTCTAAAGTCAAGCGCTGGCTTGCGTGACAGATAATATTTTTGTCAATTTTAATTAACAGAATTTGATGAAATTGAAGTGGGTGTGGGAAACGGGGGGTCATTAAGCGCAACCCTGAATTTGTTCAAGGTGAAAGCTATATTGTGGATTTCTAAATCTTCCAATGGCAAAGAGGTTCATAAAAAACATTTGGATACCTACATACATCTTCTGACGTGTCCAGTTTTTATTTAGTTCATCTATTTAGATCCCCACATTTGCTTTCCTATTTTGCCTGACCAAGTATCTATTTTTTAGCCCCAATGCGTCACTTTCCAACGTTGAAGAACGAACTTCGGACTTTAACTAGGGCTATGACTGGCTAAAGGTTTTCTGAGAAACGGGGAGTTTCGGGCAGTGCGGAATATAAAATATTTTGGTTGGTCTGTAATAAAACGCCATATGTCGCGCTGAACTGGTTTTCATTTGCGAAAATAAACAAAATGTTTACTGCTCTCGCGGCGGCCTTTTCGACACATTTCGTCAACAAGTTGTGTGCAAAACATAAAAATTAAAAAAATAAAAGCAAAGCAAAGAAAAAAATCTGTATAAAATGCGGTGTGACAATAAAACTTCGTGCCGGACCAACTTGGCAGGGAAACATGTTCCGAATGGAGACTGGGTCGATCTTGGAGTGCCATTGACGGTGAGCTGGAATGACAAGTGCACCACGGAGAGTCGACTCTAGCCTCCCCGCCACACGTCACTCCGGGTCAGCGGTTCGCCTAAGATGGACCCAGTGAGCCGGGGAGCAAGTCAATGACAGAGCAATTGATCCCTTGGTGGCAGCCACGCCCATTAACAATAGATGCAAAAGTCAATTGTAGCTCGCATTCCAAGTGCAGTCCATTCAATTTGCATAGCTTCCCCAACTCGGGCCAATCGCTCTCAGACTTTAATGGCGTGTGTTATAAGGCAAGGGCTAATTCAATTCAGCAAATAAACGATATATAAAAGCACAGTGAAGTACACACTTGAGTTTTGTAATTCTTAAAAAGGGAATGCAAGTTTATCATAAAAAAACACATTAGCCACCAAATTGGATCGAAAAAACGTGGCCAATTCGCGTGAAATGAGTCACAAAGCAAGCGTCAAAGCAAACATGTGCCAATTCAATTAACTTAGGTAACTTCTGTACGAAAAATTAAAGCCGAAATAATAAAACGAAACGAAATAACAAAGGAAAATAACTGAAAACGAAATGCGAAAGATTGACTTTAAATATTAAAGAACAAATAAAGCGAAGTCTACACATAAGTATTGTCGACCTTCGCAGCCATTTCAAGTGAAATACGGCAAAAATACGTTGCAAAATTACTTCCCCCAGAAAAGGGAGAAAACCCAAGCAGTTTTAAATTCAATTGTGGCAAATGAATCAGACAAAAAACGAACTAAAATCAATATTCGAGCGTGTCCGTAACGTTTTACCATTGTAGTTTCTCGTATATTTGTTTGAATGGCTCTGAATGTGTTGATAATAAATACTGCAAAATAAAATCTAATAGTAAACAAAAAAATACAGACGACCAGAACTCATAAAATCTTTAAAAGCAAATAAATAAAAAGATCAATCATTTGATATAAGCAAAACAAGCAATACAAAAATTCACATAGCAACGCATAAATAGCAAAAGAAAATGTACCACGGCAAGCGAAATAACACATAAGGAATTTAACTTTTAAACAGAAGACACGAAAAATATATGCAGAAAATAAGAAATTACATACAATTTGTAAAACAGAGTAAAAGAAGCGCAAAGGCCAGTTCATTCATTCATTCAATTAACTTCGGGGCAGCCTCTCGAGTAATTTACAAGATTTATTTTACGAGTTCCCCCTTCTCACCAAACTTAAATCATTAAGCCCCATTGAGTGACATTGAGATTAGGTCGGAGGAATACCCCGGACGTGACTCATGCCCGTGGAATTACCTCCAATGGCTGACGGCCTTTGTTAAACTCTTCTTTTCTTCTAACCAGTTTGCTGAGGAGGATCCCCTCGTGAGCTTCGAGAGTCGGATTTGGGACTGAAAATGCAGCAGAGAAGGCACTTGGGCCTTTTATCGTTCGTTAGGCGACTTATGATGGATTACGGTCTGGGCCTATTTTAAGCCTTCCACTGCGGATGTGACCCACGCAAACTAACGATCGAAAGTGAGATGACAAGGCCCGAGATGTTTGACGGCTTCGCACATTGTGTAGCTTGGTAAGCAAACGAGGTGGAGAAACTCACTCCACAAGGGGTTTCCCACGAGCTGGGCCACAACTACTTACTGATAAGTGATTAGATGAGAGGGAAAAAACATCCCGACTAGCTGTTCTACATGAGTGTTTTCCAAATATACTTAAATGAAACCAATCAGATGCCTTGTAACTCACAGATAAGTGATTCCTAAAACCACAGTCGACAGTAATTGCTCATATTATCAACTGGTCTGCTAAAACTTCAGTACTCTTAGCCACCACACAACTCCAGTAGCCCATCTCCGTTTTGGTGTAAATGGGCCCATTAAGGCGCTTGATATAAGCGATCGTCAGCCACCACAGGCGGAGTGCTCGAATCGCTGCACCGCTGATGGCCTAGCCCACTTACGGGTTGCATGTAACTTTTATTGCCCCGTTACGACCAGTTTGCCGTCCTTATCTGGAGAGGAGGCCCAGACCCCTGCCCTGCTCTCCCCCTGCGACGTAATTTCCGGTGTTTGGGGGATCGGGGGAGATACTGGGCCGCATAGACCAAATTACCAGTCTCCGCTGAGGCCAATTCGCAATTGTTTCTTCCCAGTAAACACTGCCCAGATACTCATCCCAAGCTCAATGTCGCTGGGGCGGGTTCCTCGACTTGTGAAGGACTCCGTCCAGAGGGTAATTAGTCAAGTCTTCTCCTTGCGAGGGACCAGAACGTGACATGCCAAATTTGTAATTCATAAATGTCATCTGAACTTGCGCACGTAACAGACAGAAACACAGACAATGTGCAGAGGTCTTCTTTGAATCTTGTGGGTAAACAAAGGGCAGGGGTGCAAGTCCCAGCTCCTGGATTCGCCTCTTGTTTTCATGTCTTACATGGGAGTGACAGCTTACCTGTCCCCTTATCACGGCCCCTTATCTTGTCTTTGGACCCGGCACGTTCCTGCGAGAATCAAAGCCAGTCGGGTGTCGGGTGTCGGTTGACCTGCCAACTATTCTCCAAGTGCTTGCCCATTATCGGCACTTTCGAGTTCGTACTGCTGTTGGCCCATAATCCATTTGGCCGACATGTTTGCTTTGCAAAAATAATGGCCAAAGTTCGCTTGGTAGCACATGACTGTTAGATAATGAATGAGTAAATGCCTGCGTGAACCGAGCTGAACGCAACTCAACTCGAGTGTCGAATGCAAAAAGATAAAACAACTATAGCACACAAAAGCGAAAGTTTTTCTTCTTCGCTGGGTGTGTTTTCAAAGGCGATATGATATGCCGGAAAACTGTATTGTCATGAGTGGTAAGAAATTACGCGAGGTAAGTTTTTGTTAGCTTCGCCGCCTCATTCTGCATGCGATCCATCTACCTCCTCTTTGCTTAATGAACATTCCTTAAACCATTTTCAATCAGTCACCTCCACTTGCCTCCCTGGTCCTTCACCTTGCCACATTCATCAACTCACAACTGCCAATACCAGACAGCAACAACTGCAGCCATAACAACCTGTTGGACAAATTTGAATTCGAGAATGTTTGCACAACTTGAGCGCTGAAATAAATTAGCTTGCTTACGAGTGGAGCGTGAGTGTGTATGGCGGAGGGATGTGAATGCAAATGCACTCGCAGAACAGTCAACCCCCTCCTGACCACCTCATAACACTCAATATTCCGGTGCTGTTGTCGTTATTAGGCTTGAAATTAAATAAACAACAACGGCTAATTACAAGAGTCGTGTCTCGGACATGATCACGGGCTCCGTACTGCCCAGGAGTCGGAGGATACTCGTTCCTGGGCCCAACAGTCGCTGACATAAAGTATCACGTAATTGAAGGGATGCCGGGGGGCAGTGGACCAGCTGCATCCATCACAGACACGCTGCGAAAGAGGCACAGGTGAGATTAAAATAAATGTGCTCCAAATGCGCACAAATGCGAAAAGTAATTGACGCCCGGCCAGACTGGCTCTTGAGGTCTGGAGGAGGCCTCTAGTCCCCAAGCCGGTTCTGTTCTCAGCTTACATTTCAAAATTCAAACAGCGGAAAACATCCGAAAATGGGTTTCCTGTGTTCTTTGGCCAAGCGTCAGACGTCTGCGGAAGGGATGAGCACGTGACTATACGTTGGAACTAATAGAGACAGGCAAAGTCCCTAAATATGCAATTTCATGGAGCTTAGTAGGACCCATATCCCAAGTCAATCCCGACCGTGTCACGTCATCATCTCTAGGATAGGAACACAAAGGGGCAAAGGGGTTTATCAGCATGTCGCTGACTGATGGAAATTAATAGTGGTTCCTGCAGACTCCAGACTCCTTCGCATCCAGGACGTGCGCTTGACTGAAGGCCCGCAATTAAGGGGAGACCAATTGAGGGGGAAGGATAACCCCCAAGGTCTGAGTGCGTGGCAAATGAAATCAGTTATTAATAGTTGCGAACAGAGCGTTGATTTCTTGCAGAAAATTCCAGTTCATTGAAGGGCCAAATGAAAGCCTCACAGGCCTCACAAGGTCGTGAATCCTCATTGGCAAAGACCACGCACGTAGCGCGGGAAATTGAATTAGAGTGCCTGGGTGGTGACTTCTTATCGGGCAGTAGGAATAAGTGAGGCCGAAGAAAAGACAATGCGATAAGGACAAGTCCAGGGCTGAGGACGTATATCGCCGAAACAATTCCACTGCCAAATCTAATCAGTCTTAATTGAGCGTCACACCAAAACCAAAAACCCTTAATTGTCAGGGCAACTCAAAGAAAAACAGATAAAAGACTACAAACCAAGAAGCCCCTTCCTAACGCAGGCCTCATTATTAATTAAGATTGTGTCAGGGGAGGTCTGCCTCAAAGGTTATCTCCGAGGATAACCGCAGTCCCGCTAAGGGACATCTTTCCTGCATCTATCGCTCCTTGCTCCCTGATTAAGTGGGCGCCCCATAGTTTCATGGTCTAGACAGAAAATATTTCTGCTTCGACACTTCATTTTTGAGTGCCTGGGCCGGGATCGCTGGAAAATTGATGAGAATTAATGTCCGCGTGTGGCGTCAACGGTTTTCAATTCGAAGGCAGGCGTCTGATGTTGATTGAGTGACTCTCGGGCCTCTGATGAAAATATATGGGAGCATAAATCTATTGCTCAGCATTTGCTCGCAGTTGTCGCGCTCTGTAATCATACATCCCAGCTAAGAGGAAGAAACCAGTTGAAATAACTTGCCATCCACATTTTAATCAATTGGAATGTTTTAAGTACACCTAAATGAACTTAAATGGATTTGTAATGATAGGTAATTCCAAAGCGAACAAGGAGAAGATTTCTTACCGAAGTTTAGAGCTAGTATAGTCTTTTAAAACGTTTTCGCAATGAGTTAGTACCAAAATACCCACATTAGGTCTCATATGTTTTAATTATAAACTATTTGTGTCTTGCCCTCGAATTGCAGAACAAAATACTTTAGTCACTAAGAGAAAAAACAAAAGGTTTTGGCATTGGCGCTTTGGGAACATCGTGCAGTACTAACTATAAACCATCCAAATAAGTAAACAGAAGTTTATTTGTACCTAATAAGGTTGGGTACATCCTGAGTTTATCCCACCGTATTTTATTATATTTCCAGGTACGTTCCAAAGCCTCAATCTTATCACACTGGATTCCAATCTAATCGGGAGCTCTTTAACTAAGAACCAAAAATATCTAGAGGGAATCACTTGTAGATTGTTTATCACGGTGAGCTCATGTTGTTTTTAACTAAACAATTCAGAGTTTATAAGCACAGGCAGCCATCATCGACTGAGTTATCACGACATTGCAATATCTCACCTGTGCCGTAAACTGGCACATCAAGCGGAGTCGTTGCGAGGTGATATGCCAATGGCGAAAATCGCGAACACTTTTCCCCCTGACAGCTGCCAAAGATACAAGTTGAGAAACCCGCTACAGTTTCCCGGGCTGCCCGACTGTCACAACACTGGCCGATGAGCCGAGAAGATAGCTTCGCCGTATCCAGGATGGCTCAATCTGCCCCGCATAAAGTGCGGCAGTTTATGATTGGGCTTATCGCGAGGGTCTACTAACCGATTTGATGAGGATGCGGCGCGAGACTGGCACATCGTAGTCCAGGTCCACATTGGTGGCATTCGAACTGCAGCAGGAGGTGGAAACCGACACGGAGGAGCTTGTCGTCTTGTCCAGCATCTTCGGATCGTCGGGATCTCGTTGATCTGATCTGTGATCTGGGTTGAGTTGATTTAATTTGAGCTGGAGCAGTCCCAGTCGCCGCTTAGCACGACATGTTGACGGCCACAATCGAGATGTTTTTAGATATATTTAATCCAGGACAATATAAATAAAGTATCTCGACGCGGGCTCGCGATTTATCTAGCCACTTGTATCTCACTTCACTGTTGTCTATCTGTAGCTTAGCACAGAGCATGCATCTGCCTATGTATCTTGTATCTGGCTTCGTCGAATCAGCTTTAATTTCAAGTTTAGCCACGGGCAGCCGAAAAACCGAAACCGAAAAACAAACGACGCTGCCAAACCACAAACGTAGCAAAATCGAAGTTCCCCGTATCTTTCGGTTGCGTTTTCAGTTAGGTTGTCACGAATCGATTCTCGTATCTTGAATCCCAAAGCGCTTAGCTCTCGAACGTCGTCCGCACCGCAGCAAGTAGCTCTGTAAACTAAATCGACGCCGAACGGCGAGTTGCGGCTGCTCTTCACAGACACATTTTGAATGTCGTAAATGTTAACAACACTGGTTGCTAACAGAGCGAGCAATATCGTAGGCGAACATGCTGCCAGCACTTCGGAATAGGCCCTGTAATCAGTGTTTACCAGAAACCGAAAATGTCACTTGGTAAAAATGACAGAATTTCTTATAGCAACTATAAGTGTTGATTACGCTCCAGTTCTTTGCAGCTCTTTTATGGTGGGATATAAGGTATGCTTTGCATTATGATTTAAGGGAATAACTTTATAGCATTTTAGTCGTTTTAATGAGAAGAAAACTCGAAATCTGTGTTTAGGGACTCTATTTTTATTTTTAACGCCTTGATTAAAATTGTATTGACTCTCAATGGCTGGGGATTAGAATCAAAAAGTAGAACAACAAAATTATCTCCACTTCAAACTATTTGTAGTGGGTCTTGGGTTGGCAATATTTTGAGAGCTCGAACAAGATACCACACACAACCCATCGCCCAATGGTCCAATAACCACATATCTTGTTCAAGTATTATAATTTCATGCGTTTAAGTTGACTGCCCCCATCATAAATTTTCCCCTTCCTATTTGGCTATGACAAACATTTCGTTATATGAGACAGACAATCCAACCCAATTCGATAATATTCGATGCATATCAAGTGCAGACGTTCTCCCTACAAAGGAATGTTTACTCCGAAAGCTCAATTAGCCAGAAGATGTTGGACAAGCTCAAGTTGCGCTCCCGATGAGGCAGTTGAACACAGTAGCCGCCTCCGAAGTTCGAGCCGTGATGCGGCAGCTGTCCAAACACATTTGTGTACACCTCGGAGGCGTCCGGAGTTCTGGGCCCGAAAAAAGGGCAGGAACCCAAACATACACCTCCTCAACAAGTCAATGCTGAAGGTCAGGCAACCCGTCCCGCACAGAAAGGAAGTCGTTACCCACTCTAGACGCAGAACCAAAAGAGAACCACACCGAGCAGGCCCCGATGTCTGTGCAGCTGCAGTTCTGGACTGAACTGCGCTGAGCTGAGCTGAGTGTGACATTTGACATGATTTGCATGCCAAGTGCCACGCCCACTTCACTCACGTCAAGAGCGGAGACGGAGTCGAGACAGGCCAAGGCAACACGAAAATTGGAGAACCGTACCGACCTCTACGAAAAAACAAAATCTCCGACTCTCAATGAGTTTTATTGTCACTTTCGTTGTTGGGAGGATTGATTTAATTTAATTTGCTCGATTTGATTCCACTTCCAACACTTCAGAGGGGAGTCGCGACACAATAGTGACTTTCCATCGATTTGTGTTCTTATCTAAAATGGTTTGGTCGTAAAAAGTTTCGAACAACACTTCGTTTTTCCAATTCAAAGCGTGGGCTTCTCCCATTTTATATCCCAGTAAGTTTGTCAATCAAATTTACATGGAAATTGCTATGGTGTCGTCCCTTATCCCTTCCCCCAATTCTGACCATTCCTCTTGCATGTGCATTATCCTGCGCGACACTCATTATCGTTATCCTGCGTTTGTTTTGGAGAGCAACATCCCATTCTCACTGGATCTTTGTTGCTGGCACGCTTGGCAGTCATTTTTCAACAACCGGTTTCTGACTACACAAACAATCTGAAATGGAATGCGATGAGATGAGCTAGGAACCCACCCGCATTCCAGAGAATTAGTCGGCAATTTTGGGCATTTGTGTGCTTAGGGTTAGTAAAATGTGCAAGGCAAACAAAAGATGTCAGCAAAATTTCCAGAAGGAAATACATCCAGAAATATGCCTCCTAATTGGCTCGTTAGAAGTCAAAAAAGGTTTGACCCTTCGGAGCGTTTATCGGGATCCTTACATCTGTATCGAAAAACCTAAATAAAACTTAAACAAAACTTTTCGCTTCTTATACAATTTTTGTTCTTGCGTAAATTTCTTTTCTGTTTATCATTCACCCACCTTTTAGTATTATTTGTAATAATTTCGGCGTACCCTCTCAAATATGCAAATTTAAGATGTCGGTGTCATATGGCTGTATTGGCTCCAATAATCTGCCCATATCCAAGCCGCCATTCATTCATAACACCTTGTAACATGTTTTCATTTGAAATTTAGAAGCTGAATAAAAAACATATGTAAATTAGACCCAATAAAAACACATGCGTGTTTGTGTGTATTCCGCTATCGCTTTTGCGTAAATTGTAGAAATTGTAGGCGTCATTTCTTTTATCAAAATGATTTTGTTTTTCTCAATAATATTTTTTGCTGTTGCCATGGGCGGAAAATGGAATTTGTTTTTTGGGAATAATGGCACCTGACTCAACACATTCGCCACCACACCACTTTATCTATTTCCACATATCGCGCAATCAACGATTTAGGAAGAGGAAAAGTCTGGCAAATATTTGTGGACTGCTAATTGAGCCATTTGTATTACCAACAAGGGACCAATGACAATGGCAAAGCTATTTTATTGCACATTTGTATAGAGCCACCCCCTTATCCCCGGAAGTGGAAATGTCCCTTGGGCTAACAGATGTATATAAGCGTGTTTCTACGATGTCCAAGGAGAAAACAATTGATTTGTCACTCTGCCCGGGATAATGGGAGTATTGACTCGACCAGATGTGCCAGCATCATCTGGTAGTGCTTGTTGGTAGGCAAATCGATATCAGGAGTATACATTCAACTATAAGTAATCAATACAATTCAACGGATATTAAATTCCAGCAAGTGACCATTATGTCCCAGCTATTTTTGATATCTTCAAGGAACTTGACCGTCTATGGGGTAAGCCCACTCCAGAGATCATTTTGGGGTAGGTCGCCATAGTGCACTATTAAAATTTCTTGCCCAACATCTCCATTTCGAGCCGAAGCCCTGTCCCCAACCACAATTGTTCACAATGCTGACCCGCTGGGCAATCGCTCGAGTTCGCTGCTGGCCATGCGTGCGCCATAAATGGCCAGAACGTGCCACTTTCGGAAAACAATGCAGAAGCTGCGGGTTCACTCGAAGCTGCGAATGGATCTGAATCGAAGCCAGAGCCAGGGCAGCGGAATCAGAAATCGTTGAAGAAATCAGAATGCAAGTGTCGGCAGCGGAAACAAAAGAGATTGGGCAGAAATGGAGCACGTCGAAGCGGGCCGAAAAACGAACTACAAGCGTTTCCCGGAATTTCCCGCTTTAACCCACCCATTAGCCAGGGGGCCAGATTAGCCCCTGCGACATCCAGTTGGAAGAACAAGCAGCAGCAGCTGAGGCACGCGATAAGAAGGGCAGTCGGTAAAAGTGATTGGGCAACTTGCGGCACTCCATGTTAGGTCATAAATTCATCAATTATCAGGGGACACAGCCACTCCTCGTAAAACAATAGAGCCATCGATGGGCAAGTAAACGTGCCCATTTTTGTGGAAAGTGAAAAACAGGATCGTCTTCATCGGCCGCATCGTCGGATGGGATCAGCTGCGGGCGCAATTAAGATGTGCATCTTAATGAAACTCCAATTTTACAACTCCCCGATGCACTTCGTCGTCTATCTCCGTGTTTGGGGATGGTCAGGTCAGAGACAGCTGATGGGGGGCAGAGTTGGAAGACAGGCCTGTATGCCCAAGGAGAAAGGCAGTAATTTAGTCCCGCGAAAGAGTCGAGTCTTGAGTGAAGAACCCACCAAAACTCTATTTTCTCAGCTTCTGGCGAGCTAATACAATTTTCGGCTGTAGCAAAGGGCTTTGACCCTTTACACTTCTAAAAACACAGTTTGCTGCCACTCCTCCAAATCTGCGCCAACAAACTTTTAGTGGGTTAATTATCCCATAATATTAATGCTCATTTGTTTCCAAAGAACCATAAGCCACGAAACAACTTCATCGTGCTCATACCCTGCCAATGGGGTGTGCTGCTTTTAATTTCAGTAGACTGCAAAGTTAAAGCAAATTATTATTTTCAACATTTTTTATATTTGGGCTAACTTATGCTTTTGGTGTTGGTGGTGGAACATCTTAAGGAACATCCCGAATTTTACAGGGAATCTCCCATTTCACAAAAAAGACCACAACCCCACATTTTTCGCTGGCAAACTTCAAAAAACTTTAAAGACTCCATTTATCATGAACAAATCATAGAGCTCTCAGTCGCTCGCAGTTCTTTTGGAACTTCAACCAACCCAGACCAAAACTGTCGGCAATTTCACACATTGTGTGCAGACCTGAAAATAAGGCATGCAAAATAAATATAAAGCGAAGGAGCTGGAATTGGACAGGCAGACGGGGGATCTAAGGAAGAAGGGCCTAAGTAAATCGTTGGCAGCTGGCGGCGCGTTTGACAATTTGCCGCGACTTGCGGCGTCTTAATCTGCGACCCGGAGGAACAGGCCGTATCGGAGTCTGGATTCTTGACGCGATCTGTGCCACCCAGCGATAATAACAAACAATTTGTTTGTTTGGCCTGGGCGGAACGGCCAGGGAAACTGTCATAGATCAGTGTATTTTCATGGGCCTGCGATTTGCCAGTGTTTGCATAATTCATGAGTAGCCCCATCCCAACGGATGCCGGTTGCAAGTTACACCCACATGGAGGCAGAACGAGATCTTGCAGCCATTCATTACGAGCACATTGAAAATTGAGATACAAAGCAGAAAAACAAAGGGGGCTCATATCGTATATGGGCAGCATAAGTTATGGCCTTCTCCGACTCCTCGGGACTGCTGATGCTGTGGAGGAGTTCGGCCAGATCCTACAGAAAAATTTTCGAATTTAATTTCTGAGTGTGGTGTTTCAAGTGCTGCTCTAGAACAGCTGTATGGAAAGAGTAGCTTTGATGAGAAAATCTGATGGGAATATTTTATAACCGAACTACTAATCCACAAGGTTTATCGATGAACTATTTGGTATTATTGGTCAAATAATCATTCTGCGATATGCAAGCTTATCCCCAAGCCAGGGTCAAAAGGCAATTGGAACTCTCTTTCGGTG